TCAATCCTCGCCACAATCTTATAAAAAAACAACAACAACACCTGATCAAATCAGGTGAAATTTGATATTTACAAATATGTATATTATCGATTTCTATCTTTATACATGAAATCTTGACAAATAAACATGCACAAAAAGAAACTTGACTTTATTAAGTTAAAAAAAAAACGTTCAAAATTGTTAGAATTTATTTTGCTCAATTAAGATTTAGTTTGTTTCGGAATTATCAAACCGGACAATATAGGGAATCCGGACTGATCGAAGCAGCATTATTGCTGTCTTATTATTAAAAAATACAAATTAATTTTATAATTAAGCAATAAATTTTACAAAAAAAATGATCCATTCAATTCATATTCTTTTTTTAATTATTTAATGCAAACAGAAATATAATTTTCAAAAAAATCAACCTTTTTTTTTACAAATTATCTGCTTTTGAGTAATAAAAGATGAAGTCCTTTATGTACGTGTAATATGTGGTCAGTTATTTTCAAGTGGACTATAGAGAATCCGGACTGATCGAAGCAGCACTATGCGAGGTTACAGCAATACCTCGCATAGTGCTGCTTCTTATTATTATACAAATCAATTTAAGTTTCTAAAGATGTTTAAATGCAAATTTATTTTGTGATACGCCACTGTGATTGAGTGTGTCGATCTAAGAAGCAACAGGTTAAACAGATGTCAGTCACTGGAACGAGTCGATATTTCAGGAGAGAGCAAAGTAATAAAAAAAAGGGACCTCGCATTATACAATTTTCTATTGTACATAACAAAAATGTAATTAATTATATCGTGCAATCATATTATTTTCATTACATAAATAATAATTATTATACATCTTTAGTTCATATAAAAGTAATAAAAGTATATAAATTACGGACAAAACAAAAGAATTTGCGAAGCAGTATTTTCATTGTAAAATCCTAAAACAGTTCTACACAAAAATAATATAAAGAATTTGTGATTATAATAAAATATTTTATAAAATTTATGTAAGGATATTTACATGTAAAAAGTGAAGAATATTTGCTCGCATAGTGCGGCTTCGTTCTTTCCGAGTTCACTATAGTCCGGTTTGTAAAATTCAAACAAATCAAATTTTAATGAGTTCAAGTTTAGCTTTGATTTATATGTTATTCGAAGGCGGAAATCGATTTCGTCTCGCTGCAAGGAATTTCTTTAAAGTTTACTTCATTTTTAAACTAGGACATGCCAAATGCTGTAATATCACCCAAAGTGTTTCTAGGATTTGAATCCGAACTGCATCTTACATTTTAAACAAAAACTTTTACATCATTGGGAATTGGATCATTTTTACGGATTTCTCAAATTTTAAGTTATAAAATATAAAAAAGAAAACCTTCGCATAGTGCACGTTTTGTTCAATATCCCGGACTGTCAAAAGGCGGACTAATCGAAAACATTAAAAATATATAGCACAAAAATAAACTTAACTGTATAGAAAAAAAACTTGATTAAAAATTATATTAATTTATTTTTTTAAAATCGTATTAAGTGATTCATAGCTGATCGAAGCCGTACTATGCGAGGTATTTCTGTAATTTGATAAAATATTTAGCGTTTCTTCAAAATAAAATCAATTAAAGAAATGTCATTTATTAAGACTTATTCACTAAAGGGAAAATCCTAACTATTACTAACTCTAAACTCTATTTAACAAAATTAGTAATTGTGACGGATAGTATTTGATGAGATTTAGATGATTTAACAATTAGGTTTCTCCCAAAAGTATTGTATTTATTTTAAATATGATCGTGGTATAATAAAATCTTGTACGTCGATTTCACTGACTAATTTATGGACTTAATACTTTATTGCACGCACTTGCTGTATACACGTATTTATTTACTTTGCTTATAAATGCCATTAAGTGCACATGTTTATAGCACTTATCGTTTATTTTTAGAAGATGGCTAGTTATAAAATACTCATGCATCTGACACATAGCTAAACGGGAATCCCAAAAACGTACATAAAATTAAGAAATTCAATTGATTATGAAACTTAATATTGTTTATTTCTAAATAATAAACGCAATAAAAATCAATAACTTAATTACTAATAATCTATTGAAAAAACTTAACTTAACTTTTTCATAATTATTTTTGTAATATCTAAAATTTAATATTATGTATTTTAGATTCTCAATTAGTCCGGTTTCAAACAATGTATTTATGTATAATTACTAGCAAGAAATGTTGAAATATTCATAAACAAGATTAAAATTTCTCAAATTAAATACTGAATTTTTCACAATTAATTTTACAGAAAAATCTTTATTTGTTGATCCATTTAATTCATGTTGTTTTTTAAACACTTTCATTGAGATTAGGAATTGTTTAATGTGAATAGAAATATAATTTACAAAAAAAAATCAATCGATTTTTATAAATAATCTGCTTTTAAGTAATAAAGTCCGTAGTTTACGTCTATATGTGTAATCTGTGGTCAGTTATTTTGAAGCATCTAGCATATAAATAGTGTATTGCCGGAAACATTGCTCAATCAACCATAAAAATATTACCAATTACAAAACTGATATAGATGTTTATGGAGTTGAGATCATTCATGAAATATCCAGGACCTTCAAACATAATGCGTAATAGCAAATACAAGATACAATTAAAATAGATTTAACATTGGTTATGTAACAATAATAAATAAAGTCATTAACGTTACTATTGTCAACGAAACTTCGATATAACGAAGTCAACAATTGCAAAGAAGTTACTTATAAATGGATGGATGTTTGGCACAAAATATGTCCAGAAGTTGTACTAGAAGAAAGGAAATAACGTCAAAGAAATTAGAAATGAAGTTATCGAGGTGGATTAATCAATAAAGTTTCCAAAAAGTCGATGAAGACATTTATTAAATGCAGAAGATGATAGTTTATTAGTGGAAGATTTAAAATTTAAAAAAGTTTTTTTATGAAATAATGTTAATGTTAGATTTCAAAAGGTGCTTAATTGATATTTTCAGTTTTCCTTTTTTAATGAAAAAATCTTGATTTAGGAACGGTTCTGGCCCTAATACTTTTACCTTTGAAAACAATGTTTTGGTTATGGCCGTTCCTAGCAAGTGCGGGGCCCAGGAAAAAAAAAATAATTTTGGAGTCCGTTAAACAATTTTTTTTATAATTTAAAATCGCAACTCTAGTGAAACCTTTGCTTTGCCACGTGTCATTTGACTCGAGCATACAAAAAAAATATAAAAACGGATCGCAGCCTAAATGTGCAGGCTCACGTTTATGCCTGCCGGTTCGAATAAGGCTGTGGGGCCCTCAAAGCGTGGAGCCCCGGTCTAAGGACGGCTCTAGTTTTGGTTAACAAATTAATTTCAATAATCGTGGTAAAAAGACGATTATTAATAATTATTGAGGAAAATTTTAAATAATCCGTTAATTAAATGCATCTAAACACCTCAGAGCCGACTTGAAAATGCTTGAACTTTGTGTTGCGCATAAATTATCGTCAAAATATAGATAAAACTATCCATACATATATGAGTGATTCTTTGCACGGCCTTTGGACTTCCAAATGAAACGTTTTCTCTATCTAATGGTAATAGGATTCACCGGATGTATCCAGATGGAAATCAGCAAATGCAGCAAAGAAAGAAAGAAATAAAACTAACATCAAATCATAATAAAATTGATGTTATTTATGATATTTTACATAATAATTTTTTTTTGTAATTTCTTAAAAAAAAAACGAGTATTTCATGTACACGCGTATGACCTTTATACTGTTATCTTAAAATTTATCTTCTTTGTCACGAAGTTGGCGCTGGATCGTCCGATGTGTGAAGATAGCGGCAAGATCACGAACAGAACATATTGCCAACATGTGCTCAAGTTTTTTTTTTCATTAGATTTCAACGCAATTTGCGAAGTTGAATAACCTAAGCTGATACGGAATTTGGGTTGATTCGAGGATAATCGAAGGACGCAAAAATAATAATTTAAATATATAATTAAAATCATGAAGCAATCGAAATCTCGTTAAGTCTCGATGTAAGTGTATCATTTGGCCGTTATTTAATGGGAAAACTTTTTGCGAAACTCGAAACCGTATGAAGAAGAAAGAAAAAACTTTGCAATTGTAATTTCTATGGGGATTGCGTTTCCCATTAGAAGAAAAAAATGCTAATGTAGGTGCTCTCTATAATTTAATCGGCATGATGAAATATTTTTATACATTTCTAATTATAAAGAACTGTTGCGTTTGTCTTCTGTCGGCAATGGAGAATTTTATTAGTTCTTTGAATCTATGTACATTTTTTCAACATAAAACTGAAATAAAGCAAATGTAATTGTATTAATGCTAGTGAAGGCAATGAAGATCCTTCGAATTTTAAGTTTTTTCAGCAGTAAACTGAAGTAAAGTATGTTTAAATATTACTAATTAGAAAGCAATAGAGATTTTGAAGTCCTTCTAATCCGTGTATGAAACTTAAAATGTAATTGTTTGAATATTTGTATAAAAATTTCAATTTTAATCAATTCATTTTTTTTTCAGTGCAAACTGAAATAATTTTATGTAAATATTTCTAATTAGGAGCTGTTCAGTTAACTTGTTTTTGAAGTTCTTTAAGAAGAAGTTATTATTACTATTTCAGTGGAAAACTGAAAATTTTCAGTATAAAATTAAAATATAAAAGTGATGTTAATTTGTATAAATGATTTGCTGAAAATAGGATTGTAGATGTTTTCCAGTGATAAGATGTCCGTGCGCGATAACGTGCAATTTCATAATTTGTCGTAACCAGATGGGATGGATGAGTCAAACGAAATAATTGAAAATCGAAACAAAAACAAACAAAAATTACCTATGTAAATCCACCTGTTCGATGCTCGTTGATGGTGATGACCAAGGGGGGATGTTAGGTAACAAATCTAATAAATGTGTTTTATTTAGTGAAATTTAAGCGCAAATTTGCGCAGGTCGCTGGAACCGCGCAGATAAAAGTCGGCTGACTTCTCTAACTCTCCGTCATTCATGCACAATCGACACTTAATACACATAGTATCAATACCTAGTGTGTGGATACTATAGTACTCGATTCTGTACAGTACACAAATTCAATACAACAAAACGCGTGTTTATTTGTGAAGCAAGTGCATCGCACCCCGAACGCAGTTTCCACCAGTGAAAGAAGCAACAATTTTAAGGATGAAGAAAATCATCTTCTATCTCGGCATCACGATCGTCCTGATCGTCATCTTCGTGCAGAACGTCTCCGCAAAACCATATAGCAGGTAAATACAAACAACAATTCAAACCAATATTATATAATAAGTTACAAAACTTTCTTAACAATTAAAAAAAAATCAAATTACATTTATTATTATTAATTAGATTAGAGCTGTAATCTAATTTTTCAATTTCGAGAAACAAAATTTTTCAATTTTTTAAAATTTTCTGATTTTTTTTTTTTGTTCATTTTGTACGACACTCCACGCGTTATTACATCAGCCTTAGTGGATTCTTAATCTGGCGTATTTATTATACATAGAAGATTTTTTTTTCCATCGATTTCGTTATAAATTAGTCTGTGAATTCCTGCGGCGATAAAGAAACGCGTTCGGAAATAAACCCGTATATTGAATCATCATCGTCCTTTATGTTTCCGAAGACGATGATTTCCTAATCGCCATCCGCAATCAAACACAACGCTCCTCATCTGCCGCGATTAAAATATGCTCGATTTACGTCAACGATGTTACACAAGGATTCGCCTCTTTAGCAATGTAATAATAGCGTGTGTTTGTATGTGTATATAAAAAAATGCATAAGCGTGCAGGATGGTGGAAGCGCGAAGAAGTCGAGGTTTGCAAAATTAGCGAACGGAGCGACGCGATTGGCTTTGAGGCGCGTTCCACTTAATTCGAATCGTTTTTCGGGAGTTCGTGTTTGGAGCCCCCGGCTTGTTACGCCCATGTCGAAGAAGCGCGAATCGTTCGGCCATTCAGGAAACGCTAAATGTATGTAAGATCGAATGAAAATTATGTTAAGAACGATAAGATTCCAGCGAATACTACGCCTCGGTCACACACCATTGAATGCGAACATTTTTAAATGCAAAATCGCTAGAATTATCGCCACAGATTGCTGAAACTAGTTTAGTTGTAATCCTTGCCAAAAATAAAAAAGAAACGAAGTAAATCAAATGCGCGGATCGTTGCGATTCCCGCATATTTATTACCAAATTATTTAGATTCCTCCAATACAATTTGTATTTTGTTTTTGGGAGGATCAAAAACGGGATGAGAGAAAAAAAAGTGAAGGGAAGCGATTTATGTAATAATTGAATAACGAACTTCGTAATCGAGGGACCGGGTCCAATTAGAAAACTTTTGCTTTGATTAGCGGAGTACAGAGAGTGAGTGAGGGACACAAAGTGTGATGGTGTATCGGGGGATTTATTAGCATGCAGAGTCGGTGCATGTGAAGCAATTTTCGGGGATCAAAAATCCTCGCAAAGGCCATTTGCCAAATTGCTTTTCGAATTAATAACAATCCAGATTTAATAATCACACAATTTGCGTGACCGACCCGAAATTTTCCGACAATCAACGCACGCCGCGTAATTGGGACTTTAATTGAATGAAACACTTACCACTAAAACACACTTTTAAATCACTGTTTTCACACTAACCGCTGATTCTCCCCCCAAAAAAAAAGCAATATTAATTCAACTCATTGCTATTTCCGATGTTTTCATTGCAATTAGTTTTACAAACATTTCGTAACGATAAAATCACAACTATTTATTTAAGTCACAAAATTAGGAATAGTGAAATATCCTGAAGAACAGTGATTTATTAGAAGATGAGTAATTATGTAAATAATGTAAAATTTGTAGTAAAGAGTAATAACTTTCACATAAACTTAAAATCAGTGTAGAATAAATGAGTTTAGAAACATTAGAAATATAAAACATACTAAAGAGCAATGATTTATTGGATGTGGCGATTATAAATGTTTGAATCTGTAATGTACGTTTATCAGCGAAGATGTATGTGTAAATAATAAACATAAATATACGATTTCGAAATAACCGAGAGAGGAGAAGAAAAAAAAAATGTTATTATTATTATTATTTAGCTGGTAATAATAATAATAAAATTTCGAGCTGCGAAAAAAAAATGGAGAGATGATGCTGACATGATGCTGGAGTTTCGCAAAGATTTCCTCTAATCAAAATCGATTCTGACCAGCAGATTAAATAGTTTATAAATAGATTAGGCATTATTTATGGTTCTCTGATAACTTGGTCAGAGCGAGAGAGGTTACTCGCTGAGGCGATGCGCGAATGTAACGCACGAAACAAAAAAAAAACGACGTTTTTTTTTTTTGTTTATGTAATCGGAATTATGATGAGGCGCGAAGGCTCGTCCGCGGCTTCGCTCCTGATTGGCCCACTCACGAAACATCCTTAACACATTTTTTTTTTCCGTTCGTCGTTCGAGATTCAAGGAGAGGAACAAAAAGGATGCGCGACAACGAACAAAAATTCGCGTGCACATTTAATCGGGTCCATGGAAACGCATGATATTGCAACGGCAAGCATTTCCTTAAATTTTTATTTACATAATTGTGACCTCAATCTACTTTATCGTACATTCAAACATATCGTATCGTTCAAATACAGGTATCTGTTATATGATAAGGTGCAATTTTCTAATCGTGTTAAAACGAAAGCGTGTTCGAAAAGTAGCTTATCATTAAACAATTATTTGAAAGTAGTTTGTCAAGTGGTATAGAAGTCAATGATACGTCAACTACTTGTCAATTATGACAGTTAACTCTTGTATAGAATGTGCGTAATCTCCATGACTACAATAGCTTGCTTTGCAAGTTCTTATAAAAATACTTGACAAGTATTGCTCGATGTTAATAATAGGGGCTGTAATATTCGAGTAGATTAATAATTGAGTAATTATATAAAAAATAGTTTATCGAGTGGAATAGAATTCATGATTTGCTTAATTAATGATTAGTTAATACTTGTATAAAATATATGTAGTCTCCATGACTACCAAAGCTTTCAGAAACAAATTACTTGACAAGTATCATTAGAGAAATCTATTAAACATCAGTACTGAAAAATATCAGAACCATTAATTTATTTTTGTTTTGTTCTTTTCAGAGTCAAACGTGTCTCGGATCAACGTCTCGCCGAACTTGAAACGCTTGTAGCGCTTAGCAAGATGTCCGGAAAGTTGGTCACCGTTCCGCTCGGCTACGGCAAATTCGACCCAAAAATAATGTAAGTCCCTTTTACTTTCTTCTTCGATTACCGCTTTCATCAAATTCCAATCAAATTTGAGTGAAATTCCCTTTTTTTTTGTGCAATGCTTTTATACCTTTTTCTTTCTCTTTTCAGTGGCCGCAAGAGGCGCTCTCAAACCTCCTTGCTCCTGGACAAATTGTTCAGCACCTCCGCGGATGAAAATTTCGTAATTCCGATGCCGCTCCAGGATCGGTCCAATTACCTGCAGGACGATTACGAACGATAAATACGTACACAACATACCAGCAGCAAACCCAAAAGACACCGAACTAAACCACTAACTCGGAAAGATGTATAAAGGAAATAACAAAACATTAAGTTAGCAAGAAATATACATATATTGAGAATTTTGTTTTCTATAGTATATACAAGTATATATATATATATATATATATTAACAACGAGGACTAGAATCTCACAAACCTCTTTGATTTGCTCAATCTACCGATGATTCGTGTCAACATAGTTGTGCGTATGTTTAGTTTATTAATTAATTAATTTATTTATTTATTACTTAGCCAGTATTAAAACCATGACCTCGTTGTTCATAAACTACTAGTACTATTATTACTACTACTATTCCTTAATGCTAAAGTAATTATATTTTATTCGTTTTAACGTTTTCAATTAAGATGTATAAGATTAATTTTAATTTATTATTATTTATTTAATTATTTATTTATTGTGTCGTCTCGATTTTTTTATATATATTTTGTGTACGTATTACGTTCAGTATTATTTATTTATTGTATTTTTTTATATATTACATACCTATTTTTTGTTTGCATTTATACCTAATATGTATTTTATAGTTTTATCGCATATGAATATAGCAAATTAAAAAAAAAAACAACGTATTTTCTTTCTGATTATCCAAATCTTTAACCTTACTATATACATTTCTTAACAAAGAATCAAACTTTCTAATATCTTTGAATAATAATAACATATTTGCTTCTTTGCAACATTATACATATGATTTTAGTACTTTATGATTTCATCCATTAACAACCAATTTAAACTTTGCCGATAGTTCTCTGCAAATATTTTTTGTTACATGAAAGAATAAGTTAAAATACGGATTTTGTGAATGCCAAGAATGTCTTTGTGAAATAATTGTTGATTTAATGACAAAAATAATAGAATTTCAAAGTTTTGGAAACTACTTTAAACATTTTTGATAATTTTGAGTCTCCGAGAACAAAAAAATGGTTCTGATATTTTTCAGTATTGACATTTATACGTTTATTAGAAAATTTCTCTACTGATACTTTACAAGTGTACTTAGCGCACACCTTACAGCAGTGGTTTCCAAACTTGAAGTTACTAAGCCTCCCTCAAAAGTATGTAATCATTTGGCGCCTCCCCTTTCATAAAAGGAACGCGCATTACAGCAATATGGATAAGAGCACAGGAATGGATTCATTCTATCTATTATACTTTTCGAGTAAATCAATGAAATGAAACTTTGAACACGAATTACAGCCAAAATTACATGCCCCAAACATTCAGCTTTCATATGCATCTTTTGGATTCAATCTATCTATTGTAGTTTTCGAGTAAATCAATGAAATGTAAAAACACTGCTTATTTGAATGTTCTAATTTCAATTTTTCAACTTTGAACGCGTATTACAGCAATATGGATAAGAGCACAGGAATGTATCTATATTTTAGCAGATATTAGGAAAATTGCTCACTGCTACTAATATTCGCGCCTCCCCTTAGACTAGTTCACGCCTCACAGTTTGGAAAACGCTGCCTTACAGTGTATATAGCCAGTCAATGTCATGCTAGGAATAAAACAGTAAATAAACACATAGTATATAGTACAAACAAACGAAAAGAGCATATAAACAAGCAAAAAAATAAAAAATATAACAATAAAAAGGTGAATTAAGATGTCTACAGACAATTACACGGAATCACCCTGCTAATTTATAAATATACAAAAAATTTATAAATAATAAAAATAACAAAAAATAAAATTATTCAACATTTATACAAACTTTTCACGAGCAGGGACCTATCAGCTCTTATCACAGTGTGGGAAGGCCTCGGATCGGTAAATAATAAGTGTTAAAAAAGATTAATAAGGGGTAACAAAGCATAAAAATGAAACAACAGAATAAACACATTTAAACAACACAGCCAGAGTTTTTAATAAAATTTAAAATTAGTCTATATATCTTGCTATCCTTCATCCTCAACAGGACTTCTATAGATGTTGGAAGGTGAACTTTTTGAGTGATTAGTCCACTTATGACCACGTTTGTAGCAACACTGTTGCTTTCACATTAAAAAAAAAAGTAAAAAAAGTGATATCATTCAACAGTTACAAGCAGTATGTTTGCGAAACATGCTATGGTAGTCATGTCATAATTGACAAGTAGTTGATTATTTATGTAATTAGTTAGTATTGCGGTTAAGCAAATTGTATATTTTGTTCCACTCGATAAACTACTTTTTATATAATTACAGTGGAACCTCGCTTAACAAGTTTAATCCGTTCCAAATTTTTTACTCGTATAGTGAAAATATTTACTTTTAAATATATCAACAAATACAACAATTGATTGCATTAGTTTTAGGAATTGAAGAATAAAATAGATATTTAAAAAAACTTAATGTCACTAATAGACTAATCTTAAACAGAAACTATTTAACCGAATTATGAGAGTTACTGCATTATTTAACTTTTAGCGAACTCGAGGAAATAATTAAATCAGTCGTAAAATATTTTTTGTTCATTATAAGTTCACTACAGTTTTAAACCAGTTTTCTGTAATGTACGTAATTTAATTTTAAGACTATATACACAAAAAAATTATTAGTTTAAAGTTAATTAACAGCATTAAATTAATAAATTCACTAAATTATTAATATTTTCTTTAAATTACTTTAATATATAAGAAGATATTTAAAAGTATTAGCTTCTTGTTACAGAAAAAATATATACATATGTAATATGTTACAATATTTTCTAATGATACTGTAGTATTAGGAACGGATGGATATAAATCCAATAATTGCATCTCAGCATCTTCAAGATGAGCTCAATCTACTTGAATGACTCAATAAATTGCGAATTGGAGCGAACGAAAGAAAATCGTCACATGCAGACGCACCAAACATCGAAACAAATCCATCGATACAAAACCCAATTATCTGAAGGGGATTGTAACTTTATATATAAAATGTATGCAAAATTTTAATATTAAATTGAAGATATTTCAATAAAATCACAATATTGATTACTGTTTTCTCGTTAATTTAAAAATAACAAATCCACCTTGGTGACAAGCGTTTATTTGTTTGTTTTTTGCTTCTACGTTACTAACCATGCATGATATCAATCTAACGAGGCGCACCTCATTATTTCGTAAAAGAAATATTCGCTTCTGATCTTTGACCTGACAAATAGTACGTCGATGTTTGCAAAATAATAACAAGTGTTCCTCTTCGCACCATTTTTAATTTAAATATACGCTTGTTGCATATTTCTTTGAATCATTTATCAATGGAATATTCGATGAAATTCATGTTGTTTATGTAGCTCGATCAACTATTGACAATTAATCACTATTAGCTTCACAAATAATAATTAAATTATGTCCAAATATACGAAACCACGATAATAATAATCTTAATAGGAAAGGTTAGTGATAATCAAAACAAAACAGCATATGTTTTTGCGTTTCGTACACAATACTAATGTTTATAAAGCCTTTTGTTATCTTTTAACCTTCTGTTTAACTAATCGTGCATTTTCTGCAAATTTACATTATACTCTTACATAAACGTAAGTATTAAATATTACATAAAAAGCGTGGTTCCTAAATTCTTCTATTGTAAGAATCAAATAAATGTCAATGGTGAATACTAGTAATAATATGATAATGACGGAATCTGAGAATTCCACATGACATTTTAAAGAATTACTTAGAACGTATCTATTATAGAGCTGACAAATTAAATAATTAACAGGGACACGCAAGAAAAATAATTTAATTGATATTGTAAGTCTTTCATGATAAACAAACTATATCAAAACAAACAGTAATTATTAATAATACATTAGGTTTAAATTTTAAATTTAAATAACAATTGTAATTTTATTCGATTCAGTTGATCTTCAGTTGATTATCTACACTAGTTTAGGTATATAGCAGTGTTTCTCAACCGCGTTTTATGGGTCGTGAGATGACAGCTGTCACTTTACGTCAACGCATCAAACTTTGTATGTTAGAAACAATTAGGTTGCAGTTTAATTACAACCCTTTGTTAAACACCCTTTGTATGTATTATATTGTCTTCTGTTAGTTTCAAAATGAAAAGATGTCTGTCGTTTTCTGTAACATGAAGGACAAAGAATACCCCAACGTTTTTGTGAATATTTTGTACTTTTATGTCTTCCGTGTTAATCTTACTTTATTTTCAATTGTACAGTCACTTCTCGACATTCGACAGACTTTAGTACAGACATAAGTCGAATTTCATACAAAAATAAAATTATAACATTTTATTTCTCATTTTTGTGCAAGAGCAATATATTTGAGGAAATCTGTAATAAATTCATACATTTTCTATGAATTCGTTTTGTCGTAAGTCGAGAACTTACTGTATAATACAATTAATTGGTATATAATGCGTATGCAACCAAAATATCTTTAGGGGTAGTCGATGTCACATGTAGCGCCATCTACGTGCGGTGAGCAGAAGGTCATAAGTCAAAAACAATAACAGCTTGTATTAATGGATTAAATATACCTGTAACAATGATAAACGGGGAGGATTTAAGCTAGGTTATCTGCGAATGGTAAATAAGTACAGAAGGGACTGGAAAACTATATGATATGAGCTGCAGTGGTATTATCATCATCATCTTTTGTCTATTTTGTTCTTATTTATATCTCGCTCTTTTGTAAATTTGAATATTCAAATCGTTGTTATTTGTAGAACAGAAGAATAGAGAAAGAGTGTGCGTTATCGATTAAGGGAATGGCGCATGAGCTTCGACGGAGGCCCTGCTCGTGCTTACGCATACTTTGTGCGACGGAGATAACCATAATTTTGATTTCTATGAGTTGAAAGAGTTCGCGTGGAGGGAGTAGGGTGGGTTTGAGAAAGTGATGAATATATGGTCGAGCCGCAGGAGTGGGAGCGAGAGACCGAAGGGCGACAGACAGTTGTTTCACGCAATATGGCGGACGCCAACTGAGGAGGATTTTTCGGTGGAGAATAATAAAGGACGGAAAAAAGGAGAGGAAGAAGAAGAGAAAAACATAACAAGGAACTGGACAAGCGAGTAGGAGGAACGGGGCAGGCAGCGAAAATCAAATTGGACGAAAGGATCAGGGGTTGTGCTTCTGTTGTGTGGAAACGTGCTGGCTCGTGGCGGTCGCAGTGAAGATGTTTCGACCCGAACAGCCGGACTAAAGTGGTTGCGAGATGTTTAATCCAACGTGAGAAGAAGGAGGAAGAAACAGACTGCTTACTGGTTCTCCTGCATCCCGCGACTAGAACACCTTCACGAAGGAAGCCACGGGGCGACGGAGTGGTGCTCCCTATTTATCCTTGCATACCGGATCGGGTGAAGATCCAAGTAATACAGAATATGGCGATGCGCGCTCTGTTGTTTTTGTTGCTGGCGCTCTGAGCGAGCAGGATTTCTCCTGAATTCGGATGCCAACCCTAAGACGAAGTGACCATGAATACGGTGAACGCTGGCGGAGACCTTTACGACTTCATCTGCGAGGAGAACTCGCCAAAATGGAAAGGCCTCCTGATGACAGCCCTAAAGCGAGTTAGTACTAGTGCAAATGCAATTTTCTCCCCAACACAGCCACCTTCATTTAAAAACCCTCTCACATCCATTTTCTTTCTTTCATCAACTGTAAACGTTCTTTCTTATTTATTTAGGTCTTGGAACAAGTGCATCCTTCGCTGGGTGCTAGAGAGGAAGCTCTGGAATATGTCGAACAATTGTGTCTCAGGTTACTAGCTCTTCTTTGTGCCAAACCTAGCCCGCACACAGTTCAAGTAAGTGCTTCTATAAGTAGCAGAGAAACATCTTCATTTATCTAATCCACACAACTTTATTCAATTAACAAAACCATATGATCATACCATATTATCAGCACTGCAATCAAATCATATCAATGAACATTAATTCAAATAAAAACAACATCTAATTATTTTACATTTGATTCTGTTTATTTACCCATTTTATTAAATAAATACTACTTAGACTTAAATATATTCCATTCATAATTAAAATAAATTATAAACGTTTTGATGAAATTCATTTTCAGGTTAGTTTTTTTTTCTTCTTATAGCTATAAAATTAAAAGATTATTTCTGAGAATATTAAAAATATATTTTACACCATTGTAAATTTACATTTTTTTTTCACATTGTATAGCTACAATCAAATAAAATAATATTATTTCAATACAAACTAATGTTAAATTAAATTGTATTTCTATTTTTGATGCTTCTTGTTTAATAATGGATTTAACAAAATTGTTAAAAAAAAACGATTTGTCAATACAAAACCAAGGCTATTGTCTTTTACTCTTAATGTTTCCTGTCATATATAATCTTGAGAAGGGTGTCTAATGTTGATTTACGTTTATTTGTATTCCGTCGTGCATAAAATGATTATTGCAACAACATTTCTATCAATATAGAATAATTTATCTACTTCAAGGCGTCATTTGTGCGTACTACAACTAAGTTTTCTGAAAGTCATGCTTGTTCAATTACAAAAATTAGTACATAAAACTGTAGTTGACATTTGCAAAAATACGACGACATAACGATTACATACAACTTCTAAAGATCATTCGAATGCGTTTATCAAAATTGAATATCTTAATTATACATAACGAATATTTTCACATTAATAAAAGTTTTAGATTTGTTCCACTCAATTAATACAACACAATTGGAATGACAACGTAAAATTATGATTGGTGTGAATTTGCATTAGCTAAATGGAAATATTTGAAAGTCAATACAAGTTTATGTCAGTTTTCAATTTGGAAAGAAACTAATTACCTTTCACTCGAAAATAGAGTAAAACTTCTATAATTGGTTTTGTGAATAAATTATTAATTACATAAGTATTGATTGATAACCCTTGCCCTTGGTTTATCCTAAATCCACTAAATGATGAAAAATTGAGTTTCCAAAAGAATTGTTTAATAATATGAATAAAACAATTTATTTTATATTTATATGAAATATTATCAACAAATGATATAATTTCTATTTTTATTATTTTTCAACACTAGTTTCCTTTAATAATATTATATGTTAGAAAATAAACATGAAAATTTAAGTATTATATGGATTTTGTTTTTAGAGACTGTAATGTAGTAATAAAAAAGCATAAGAAAATAAACTTTAAGTATTCATCATTATTACGATATATCATTAATTTATTTGTGTTTGATTGCAGGATGTGGAGTACAGAGTTAGAAACACTTTTCCTACACCAATAGACAAATGGGCTCTAAAGGAAGCGCAGGAAGCTCTGGAGAGGGGCAAAAAGAAATCGGTTCTGCCCGTGGACAAAATTCACAATCTCCTGCAAAAGGTTCGTGAAAAATCGGAGAGGAAGAGGCGAATGCTAGCGCCAGAAGCACGAGTATCTATTAATTCTTTGTTATACCTCTGCAGGAACTGTTGCTCTACAAAGTGGATTCAGGCGTGTCATTGTTTCTCGTGGCCGTGTTGGAATACATTTCCGCGGATATTCTGAAGTTGGCCGGGAATTACGTAAAACATTTCAAAAATGTTGAAATTACATTCCAAGACGTTCAAATTTCCATGAACGCCGACAAGGTAAATAACGTAATAAGTCTATCCGCAAAAACGAATCAAAGTTAAAAAAAACGCGACCGGGGCAAATTAAAACTGATTTGATATCTGGATATAATTGTTTAATAACTACACTACATTAATAACCAACGAGATAATAATATTTGTTCATTTTCGTTGTTATTATTATTATTATTTATGTTTAAACATCATTTTTTGTTGAAGTCGTGTAGAATTATTTACGGTTTATCGTTTATTATTATATTAATGTGAATTTAACGTCGATGCTTAGCGACTCATTTTTAACTTGCTTTTGCTTTCACGCGTGCCTCAGACCACAGCTATGGTAGGTAGCCAACGTTCAATTATGTTTGTTTCATTTATTTCTTTTTGTTATTATTGTTGTGTTATGTATACTTGTTTCAGAAATTCCTACAAAATTCATGCATGTTTCTAAATTTGGAGAGAAAGAAAACACGGAAAGATATACTCGAATATAAAGAAACTTATTCAATTCACTTGTTGAAAAGGTCCATTTTGTTTGGCATCAAATGTATCTAATAATTCAAAGCGTATTTAATTGAAACTATAAATATCCATATTTAAATCGAAATCCATACTTCACTGTATGTAGAACATACATGCAGTTCAATAGTATAGAATTTCTAATGAAAATCGATGTTATTATCCACACATTTTCAATGTGATTATTGATAACCACAAATACTTTTGTATTTGGAATTTATTTTTTTACATTTCCTACAAAAAATGTTTCTTTTTGTTTATAAAAATAATGAGTCACATTAATATTGGAATTTATTTTTAAAAACAAATTCATAATAAAGTAAACTTTAATAAATATGATGTAGGAAATGCATACAAGATTAAAATTATCAATCTTTAGAAGACACAAGAATCAATATAGATATATAAGTTAAGAACAAGGAGTACTTTCCAGGTTTTCAATCATTTCTTTTTTTTTAATTCCATTTACTTCTTTATTAATAATAACGCTATGCTGAGCTTGTTTTATGTTGCCATCTTTCAATCTTTTTTTTGTATAGTTTTCGTTTAATTAATTCTTAGTCTATGATGTATACGTTTTGTAATATGTTTTTCTTCTATTTCTATTTTCTACACACTGATAAATCATGTTTTCTTAATCACACCTATTGATAATATTTCTTTCTCTTGGTACACATATTCTATGTCCTATCTGATGATTCTACTGTGGCTCGCTCTTCGATTTATAAGAAACACGTTGATATACCAAATTGTTTGATATGCTGTTGTGTTCCAGGCTTTGATGGATATGTTTTATCAAGATGAAGGTGGAGGTTCAAATTCACTTTCGGAGGGCTCGGCGCTTGCGTCTCCGTCGACCGCTCCTCGCACCAGTCTTACCTACGAGGAGGTCGTTCGTGAACTGATGGCCTCCGAACGACAGTACCTGAGAGAACTGCACATGCTCATACGAGTGTTCAGAGAGGAAATAATCAAATTGACGAGCGATCAGCGACATTTGGATGTGATATTCTCCAACATCATGGATATATACGAACTCACGGTCACGCTGTTGGGCAGCTTAGAAGATGTAATGGAAATGGCTCAAGAGCAAATGCCGTACATCGGAAGTTGTTTCGAGGAGTTGGCGGAGGCTGCCGAGTTCGATGTTTACAAGAAGTATGCAAAGGAGGTGATGTCTTCTACTTGTCGGGATACCTTGAACAACCTGCTGTCGAGGCCGGACGTCGACAATGCCCTAAGCACAGCCTGGCATGGCATGAAGCTGGCACTGAAATACTATTTGCCGGCATTGTTGCTCGGCCCGATTCGCCATTGTTTCACGTACATGGATTACATCAAGTTGCTGAGGGGTTTATCGGGAATCGACGAAGACAAAGAGACGTTGATACAAGTTGAAGGTTTGCTGAAGCCGCTACAAAGTGAACTAGGTATTATGTTCATCCAAACAAAGTTAATGAATCAACGTTGACACCTATTATCTTTGTCATTCAGGTCGTTGTATGTCGCATTCGAAGCCGAGAAATACGCAGATGCATGCGAGGGCGCGACGACAAGCAGCTTTACACAAGATTCACGAGCTGGAGAAGATTGTTGAAAATTGGGATTCCAAAGATATAGGACAGTGCTGCAATGAATTCGTGCGAGGTAATCAATAATCAATTTCTTAATTCTTATATAATACGATGAATTAATTACAGAGGATGTACTCATGAAGGTAGGTTCTGGCGGAAAACGACCAACCAATCGTCGCGTCTTTCTTTTCGACGGCTTGATAATTCTTTGCAAGCCTAACTCGCGCCGTCAGAGTACGGTGCACACCAGTCATCCCGAATGTAAATTGAAGGAGCGATTCTTCATTCGCAAAGTAGAAATCATAGATCATCAAGACACGGAAGAGTATCGAAATGCTTTCGAAATATCGCCACGTATGCAACAACCAATCATCTTGTGCGCTAAAAGCGTAGAAGACAAGAATTCTTGGATGGCCGATTTAGTGATGCTGAATACAAGGTTAATTTCACATAATCTATATACCTGGGTAAAATTTAATTCTATAATTGTAGATCAATGTTGGAGCGAATACTGGATAGCATACTCACGGATATGGAGAGGAAGCATCCATTGAAACTACCTTCACCTGACATGTACAAATTTGCAGAACCGGACTCGCGAGATAATATAATTTTGGAACAGAGGGAGAATGGCGGCGTGCCTCTGATAAAAGTAATAATATAGCATTGTATAATTATACCGAATACCTCATCATTAATTTATGTTTCAGGGAGCCACGATCTATAAATTAGTTGAACGGCTAACTTACCACATATATGCGGATCCTAAGTTCGTCCGCACATTTCTTACCACTTACAGGTCGTTCTGCGCTCCTGCCGAATTGCTCGAACTACTCAAAGAACGTTTTAATATACCGAAACCGTCTCTGGTGTACGAACAGGATCCTAACGATACCGATAAGATGCAGAAGAATTCGCAACGCGAGGATTGGAAGCGCTATCGGAAAGAGTATTGTCAACCGGTGCAATTCAGGGTGTTAAATGTGTTAAGACATTGGGTCGATCATCATTTCTATGACTTTGAAAGGGACCAGGCTTTGCTGGACAGTCTACACGCTTTCCTCAATTCGGTTGATGGTAAAAGCATGCGCAAGTGGGTGGACAGTGTGTTGAAGATCTTGCAGAGGAAGAAGCCAGATGCCCAGCGCATGATTAAGTTTGCCTTCGATGATCAACCGCCGCCCATCGAATGGCATCTAACGAAGAACGAAGATGAATTTGCTCTCCTCACGCTGCACCCTGTCGAATTGGCTCGGCAACTTACCATTCTCGAGTTTGATCTCTACAGAACAATCAAACCGTCCGAGCTAGTCGGGTCCGTGTGGACTAAAAAAAATAAAGATAAAACTAGTCCAAACCTTCTGAAAATGATCAAACACACCACAAACGTAAGCACATTGAATTATCTGTGATTGCATGAGTTTATTGATTTGTTTTTGTAGATAACTAGGTGGTACGAGAAGAATATCGTCGAGGCAGAGAACTTTGAAGAACGCTGTGCAATTGTTAACAGGGTAATAGAGATTATGACGCATCTGGACGAGTTGAACAATTTCAATGGGGTGCTTGCGATTGCCAGCGCTATGGGTTCAGCATCAGTTTTCCGACTGAGGTGCACGTTTCAGGTTTGTGTTACTTATAATAGATATTTAATTTGTATCTAATGTCTCTTAATTGTGTACAGGCAATAACGCAAAATAATCGGAAAGTGCTGGAGGAATGCCGCGGTGCTGATGACCATTTTAAGAAGTACCAGGAGAAATTGCGCTCCATAAATCCTCCGTGCGTACCGTTTCTGGGCATGTATTTAACGAACATCCTGCATATTGAAGAAGGAAATCCGGATTTCCTGCCGAACACGCAGCTCATTAACTTCTTCAAGCGTAGGAAGGTTGCCGAAATCACTGGAGAAATCCAGCAATATCAAAATCAACCATACTGCTATAACGTTGAACCAAAAATCAAGGTGAGTTTATTTTTTTTGCTAGTGAATATTTCATTAAATAATTATTATTTATCTATACTTGATACATTTTAACTTGGGATCTTTATTCAAGTTTCGAATGATTTTATTTAATGTTTTAGCATTTCTTGGAGACGTTGAATCCGTTTGGTGATATGAGCGACACCGATATTAGCAATTACTTGTTTAACAAGAGTATCGAAATTGAACCAAGAGGCTGCAAACAAGTTCCAAAGTTCCCTAGGAAGTGGCCTCAGCTTTCGCTGAAAAGTCCCAGCACGAAAGCGAAGCAGTCTCGTACTAGTGTAACATCCACGAACACGGTGTTCAACACGCACCCAGTGCCAAAGATCGAAGAAGAAGTTAAAAAGGTGCCGGAAGAACCCGCAAAGAACGATAGCGAATTTAGCGTTTTCGCCCAAGTCCATATACCTACTGGACAGAACAGTCCAACACTCAGTCCGGCATCGCCTGCGACTTCTACGACTTCATTGATGAGTTGGTGGCAAGGACATAGTCGTAGTCCGAGCGTTAGCTCGACGACGTCTGCATTTAGGGCCCAGCCGATCCCGCTCAGACCAGAACCCGCATTGCCTCCAACTCCTCATCGATACAACCCGCAGCACTTCACGGTAACGGCGCCGAGCAGTCCAGGCCCTCACAGCCCAGCATCTCCTGGTCCGCACGCCCTTCCCGAACCTCACAGTCCTCACGTTTTATCATCAACGCCGCCACCGTTACCGCCACGCAGACGTCGTGATAGTCCCGAAATCAATTCTCCTCAGCAGGTTTCACCCAAGGTTCCGCACTATGGCCCTCACAATCTAAAGGTATTGTTGTTCGCATGTTAACAAATTCTATTCTAAATCTAATTCTAAATCTTCAATTTATTTCAGATTAAACAGGCTCCAGATGCACCGCAGTTACCTCCGAGGGAATGTTCGCCGCCACCGTTGCCGCCACGCAGGGAACCTGGTGCTTCTCCGAATGCTCACCACACTCTCACCTTCGGATCTACTGGTACTTCGCCTCGTCTTCATCCTACGCATACTTCACAGTTACACATTAGACGTCACTCCAACATCCATCCTCATGCTCCTGTTAGGTCGCTCAACCAAACATACAATGGAGGGACAAGGTAAGAAACAAAATCATATAATATAATACATCTGAAATGGCTCACTTTCTTTAGAAAATAACAAACAGTGATTTGTTTAATAATTTATAAGAAAGCCATTCCAAATATAATAACATAATCTGTATATGTAACGTTTTTATTGAATATATTAGGGTTTTGCTGAGAAGCAGATCTGAAGCGGACGGCGGTAGACAACCTACAAAAAATGTTCATTAAGCGTGTAATTGAATTGATGTTTGTTTCTAAAATATGTTCGTCGTCTATTTTGGTCGTATGATTAATTGTTCGTTTGATGTTGTTTGATTCCAGCTTGCCACCCCAACCACCTAGTATTTCACCCCGACTTTTGAGTGATTCGAGTTCCGGCCAGTCGACCCCAAAATTGCCACCCAAACCCGCTATTCGGTCAGCCGGACTCACAACTGGCACCATGTTCCAATATCCAAGCACGACAAACACTTAATGATTAGGCGTAGACCAAAAACCGTCACCACTACCCCCCGTATCTTTAGAATGAATGCACCTGACATCACATATTTAATATTGAAATTAATTTGAAAAGAACAAAAAAAACAACAACAACAACAACCTCTGACTGGAGATTAGACGTGTCTTGCAGCCCTACATCAGTACACAATTTTTCAATGAATGTTTTAATGTGTGTAAAAAAAATATCTATATGTAAAATATTGTATATATGTACATTCTGTGTGCGTTGCCAAAACAGATTGTAATTTTAATTGGATTTCGTTTTGTGCACAACGCTCTGACAGGAATTGTTACTATATTTAAACACCTTTTATTTTATTATTATTTTTTTTATTATTATTTGTTGCGCCGATTCGCGCGATATTTTTATTTTATATATATATTATTGATTTTATTTTAAAAATATTATTTGAAAACTGTGATAGTAGAATGGACCATTATTTGTAAAAAAAAAAACAAACAAACAAAGAGAGATGAATAATATGAGAACTTAAAAATAATGTAAAAAATAACAAACTATTATTGAAATGAAAAAGAAATTTTAAAGCATAAACGTCATTATTGTAAATTCGGGACGCGGTGGTCTTCCGGTGGATAATTATTTTCATTGCGTTTTGTTTCTTTCGGTTCTGTCCATCTCGGAGCCGTCTGTCCCATATATTATAATATATATTATATAAATATATAAGTTTCAAAATAAGTACAATAAATGTATCAATGTAATTCAATGATGTTTTATTTTCTTAATTCCAACTCATTTTCACCCACTTTATATAATGCAAATCTCATCTTCAAGTATAAAATCATCGCTAGTTATACGTAAGTAACTCCATTATGTAAACGTATGAATATTTGTTTAATACTTAACTAAATGTGCTATTGAATCTTAATCCATTGAGATTAAAAATGATACTTTCTTTTATTAAATATTCAAATACATTTTATTTCTAAATTATGTACAAACTTAATCTAATTTCCTAAAAATGTATAAAGATTTTACGAAAGTACGATATGAATATACTCAAGAACGTGTTTCTATACATTTTAGTAAGTTATAGAAATATAGCTTTTTTTTCATGAAACTGTTAAAGTTTTAAATTCTTCGCCCAGAGGTCAAGAACTATAGAGTTTTGCTTCAAATGTTGCGTATAGAGATATAGGCAAATTGTAAAACATGATGTTATATAAACAGTTTTAGGTTATAAACTTAGTACAATTGTTTTGTTTTTGTAATGGCTAGTGTTACTGTGTTTCAACAAATTATAAGAGGTGTGCATTCGCTGAAACCAAACTTTGTACCGAAACATTCGCCCGTCAACGAAAGAGATTTGAAACTGTTACGCGATTTCGTCGAAAACCACAAGAACATATTGGTGCTAACAGGTGCTGGAATATCAACAGAATCAGGTATTAACTATTGTATAAAAACGATTTTAATTACAAATTGGAACTAATGAGGTTGATGTTAGATAGGTATCCCCGATTACCGATCGGAGAAGGTAGGTCTATACGCTCGATCCAACCACCGACCAATCCAGTACCAGGAGTTCGTCAGATCGGCGACAACGCGACGTCGCTATTGGGCCAGAAACTATGTGGGCTGGCCGCGTTTCTCCAGCAGCCAACCGAACGGCACGCACGAAGCGATTCAACAGTTACAGGACGTTGGGAAAGTTTCCTGCATAGTAACGCAAAACGTGGACAGTTTACACACAAAAGCTGGATCCACGAATGTAATTGAACTTCACGGGAGCGCTTATCGCGTACACTGCATGCAGTGTGGGACATTTTACGATAGACACAAGATCCAAACAGAACTGGAAGAAACCAATGATACATTTGAGAATATTCAATCGGCAATGAGACCTGACGGTGATGTGGAAATCTCACAAGTATAAATACAAATTAAGTAACCTGCAGTTTTCATAAAAAAAATAATGTTTATTTTTCGTTTCAGGAAATGGTCGATAAATTTAGACCTCCTTTCTGCGAATCCTGTGGAGGCATCTTGAAGCCAGATATCGTGTTCTTCGGAGATAACGTGCCTAAGGAGAGAGTCGAGAAGGTTAAATCCTCTGTTGAAGAATGCGGCGGTCTTTTGGTTTTAGGCTCCAGCTTAACAGTATTTTCCAGCTACAGGATTATCCTACAAGCCGTTGAAGAATCCAAAGAGATTTGTGTCGTCAATATCGGAGCCACGCGTGCGGATCATTTAGTGGATTTGAAGATTTCGGCTAAATGCGGAGACGCTTTACCACAATTGCTATGTTAAAGAATTGTAGCTTTGTTTAAATGAATTTATTGTTATTAAGTAAACTAATTTCATTTCGATTATTTAGAATTAATCGAAAGTATTTTGAAGTAGCCTTAAATGTAAAGACTTAGAATGGAAACTATTTGAAGAATGTTAAGAAGAACAAACAGATAATCTAATTATTGTTATTATATTATAAGTAAAAGATTTAGAACAGTACAAACATTGTTAAGTCGCAAAAAACATTTCTGAAAAGGTTATAAATTTCAATAAACCTCTAATAATTGATACAATTTATTATACGTACAATAACTGAATATATTATAAAAAATATAGTACTTTTATTCGTTACATTTTATCAATACTGTTAGTAAGTAGTAATAAATTTTACAATTTGAGTTTCAACAAAATCTAGCTTTTGTCTTAACCGAATAATATTTCTGTTAAACGGTATGAATATTTACGTTTGGATAACCAAAAGTGAATATTCAGTATTTAAAGAAAAATAAAACAATCTTGTAAATTTAAATAAATATAATTCAACTTTTATATATGTCTCTCAATCTCTCTCTGTGAATGAAATATATGGTCAAATACAACAAAAAAAATACAATAGTTATGATAATTTCGTCATAAGATTACAAGCAGATGCAATATTCGAACTGAACAGAAATGAATTGAGTAGTAGAATCTAAATACGTTTGAAAACAATTGAAATTTATTTCCATTCACAGCTTACTTTAGTTAACAGCGGAATTCCAGAGCGACTTCGGTTATTAATATTCATCATCCCAGTATTTACGATACGATAAACATATAGGTGATTAATTGTGAAAATACAAATAAACATAAGTAATTGTAATCATTGAGATGGAACGTGTGAAGGCACTTCTATTCAAAAAACTTCTAAAAAATCCGGGTATTGCTATCACTTATTCATTAAACATAATTCATTAATTGTGACTATCATTGTCTAGTTATACATGTAAAAAAAATGCGTGCAATTATTACAGAAAATTGCAACTATCGCAACACGTTATATAATATATTTAAAAAAAAAGCTATATTATATTTTTATGACAAATACAATAAGTGTTTTTTTTGTATATATAATTTTTCACTTTCTTTTTTCTTTGTCAAAGAATAACAACAAATATATTATATTTTTAAATATCGAAATAAAAACAATAATAATTCTTATTAAGAAAGTAATTCCATACCTTGTTTTTATATAAGTATATAAATCTATAAAAAAAATATAAAAACACTTAACCAAAAATAAATATTCTTAATTATAAATATAAAATGGAATCTCAACAAACAAAAAAAAACATATAGACATTGGTTTTGCCACATTATTGGTTCCCTTTCTTTGAGGATTTTTGAGCAAAACGTGTACTTTTCGTCTCCTAGTAGCATTCCATTAATATAATAAAATATATGTCATAAGACCAAACAATTGGCACTAGTCACTGTTTGCAAATAGGAAGTTTCAGTAGAATTTTATATCTTGACGGCGATTCCCTTCTTGATGAGTTGATCCTCTATGTAGATGTCGACTTCCGTGGAAGTGTCTATCAACTTTAGACCAAGAATGGTATCGCATCGGTATAACTCGTCTTTCTCTACGGACGTCAGCACCGACACGAACGATTTGCTGCAAACTTCATTCTGAAAGAAGTTGCAATCGTCCATAGTCCATTTGGCCTGCTTCGGTTTGATACCTACAAATAAAGGGAAACGCATTAAAAACACCTATCTAAACATCATTCATAATAATACACTCACCAGACAACTTTGCTTTAATTGCTTGATACGGCAATTTCAGAAATTCCGGTTTGAGAGGAACTAATTGCTGAAGACTCAGATTGGCATAATAACCAAAGTCACAATAGAAAACAGAGATTGAACCGTGATGTATAACTTTCATTACACTTGTTCTGAAAAAGAATTTTTTTGGGTAGAAAATGAATTATTCGAAGCAGGTATTTAGAAAACACTAACCTGTACCATTTTCCATCACCACCATATTTTGAAGCGTAAATTTTTCCCGGAATAACATCTTCCAATCTCAAAGAGCCATAGTGAATATCTTTGCAAGCTATTTGCAGCTTGGTCATCAACTTGTTCAAACTTTCTGTGGAATCGTGGGGTTGAACCTGGACAAATAAATTAATTATATAACGTTAATTTTGTTTAAAAAAAACTTACGAAGAAGTTCCACGGGTTCACAGCAGTCGGAACTCTTATGTCATAATATTTTCCAATCATGGGCAAAGGTGGTGATTTGAGATTTCCACTCGAAGGTACGCCCTTCGGTACTTCCATATTCAAAGATATAATTTTCTCAAATTTTTCTAATTTCTGATTAGATTGTTCTCTATAAAAAATAAATAAGAATCTTTAGCACGATTTTATATAATTAATGGACGCATTACCTATTGTGCAACTCGATGTTTATGCTTTCAGTGACAGAAACGAGTCCAGCGTTAGCTACGCGTACAAAGAGTTTCACGCGCATAATTTGATCCTTGTCTTTGCCAACGCATCGAAGGAGGACCCCGATGTTCCTAGGTACCAGCGCATCGAAAATCTTTATAAAATCGCTAGGGATTTTCTCTAAATCCAGGCGCACCTTCAACGCTTGTTCCGGGAATTTACTGACGACACTACTCAAGTCATCCAGAAGATATAATTTGGATTCGCTCATCTTGATGACACTCGTTAAACCGTAGTCGACGTAATAAATCTGTGCATACAGTTGCCCGTTCGGCGACCACTCCAGAATCTTGATCCTGCAGTATTGCTTGTCTTCGGGATTCTTGTAGAAGTACAGACGCCCTGCGCTATTTTTCGATGTCACCGTAGCCTCGGCGGACGAGAGCAGGGAACGATCCTCCAGGAAACTTGACTCCAAATCTTTGATCAACTTCAGTAGCATGCCGTATCCCTTAGAATGAATCTGAAGGTATATATTGCCTTCAACGTCTGCGTAACTGATGAACACCTCGTTCGGGGAGGCCTGGAAACATTTACCGTTATTATCCATCAAATTCAATATATTAATTAGTATTACCTCGTCCAAAACGGGTTGAGCATTTTCGATCGATATTAAACTTATAAGCTCGTCATTTATACTAACGCCAGATTCAATATCGTACATGACGACACGAATTGGATCGTATTTCGCTGAAATTGGATATATACATTAAATTTTATCAATAAATTTATATGATGCACTCACCGTGTTCACCTTCTTCCAAGCAAGGTTCTAGTTGAAACGTTCTTCCCTCTAGTTTTTGAAGGGTTTCGGAAGCCACAGAAACCTCATATAATTCTTCTAGCCCAGCTAGACGACATATAAAAGCCTACGAGATAATAATTAATTTTCTTAAAGAACTTTTAACTTCAGTGAATTTCGTTACCTGTGCTTGTCGTTTGGCAAATTGAAGCTCAAGATGGAACATGTGCTTTTTAGGTACCTTCTGGTCGTCACCAGTATCAACCAACAAACATTGAATGTTGTCGTTATCGTCACATTCCAGAACACGCACTCTATACCAAAAGTTGTCAATCCAAGCTACATAATAATTCCCAATAATCACCGAGGTAGCAGACAAACTGCCATTCTCTTTATTATAGACGCTCTCCATTTGGGTGTTCATGGCAAGGAACGCTTCCTAAAAATACGATCATTGGTAAACGAAATACAAAAAAATATACTTTTTCACTAACATATTCCTGCGTTTGTATTTGCCTGCACCACACTTCCTTAGTGGAGACGGCGCATGTAACTTCCACTAGAAGGAGGCCTTGATCGACGAATTCCACGTAGCTGGTGGGTATAGAAACTTCGTAGGATAATGGCAGAGAGGACATCTTGCCTTTCTGCAAAAGCTAATGTGTTCGAAAAGAGAAAGAAACAAACAAAACACCAAACCTAAGTATATTAGTGCAAAAACAAGCGAGTTACAACCAGTCGAGCTAAAATGAAAAGCTAACAACAAAGCCACCATACTTACATCCTCCGGGTTACAGTATCTCAGCACGTATTTATCGCCGAAAGCCTCGACGGAGATTGTCTGACTACTGTCGATGACCTCGAGCCAGTTCAAAGGTAACAATTCATTGTATTGATCCTTGTAATCCGCCTCCAGTTGCCAGCTCCAAATACCGTGGTAATGTTTCATGACCAGAGGTGGAATCCTCGTTAAGACGTCGGTCTCGTTCGAAAGCAGCAACGACTCACGCTTCTTTATAGTGCCAAATTTATGATTCAGAGCGTCCAACGCCAATTTGGAAGCGTACTGTTTGGCGGAGAACTCATCCTTGAAGTCATGGGGGTAACTTGAGAAGCTAGAGTTGTCAATCTGAAACACAATCATCAATTTAAAACTAGGAATAACTCATAAATTCATACTATATCTAATATATTGACAATTTAAGCAATAAACATATACAAGGTTTTACTTACTTTGACTTGACAATCGTAAAAGATGGGTTTGTGTGGTTTCGTTTGTCGTGTTATAACTTTGATTATCGGTTCGTTCAGATTACGTTGTTTCGCGAAAGCGTGCAGATCCCGAACAGGATCTCCGGAAACGTGGAATTTCTGTTCCGCTGCGGGTCGGTGGTCAGTCTTTTGGTTTTCTTTAATATCATTGTGGATAGATTGAGTGCGCTTCTGCAATAGAGAAGGAGGCCGATTGGATGTCGGTGGCGGCGTCTTCGGCGGAACCTTCTGTCCGTTCGTAAAGGCCGAATGAGTATTCCTCTCGTTCTCGTGACTAGAATCGCGGAAGTTGCGGTTTTTCGTGAAACCCTCCGACGATATTTTGAATACATCCTTTTGTGAGAAGTTGTGATTGTTATTATTCTTATTGCTGTTATTGTTAATTTGTTTCATGTGTTGATCGGGGGAGATGCGAGCAGGTCCTCCGACGGCGGGCGCCTGCTGTTTCACCGGATTTATTTTCACGACCTGATTGTGGTTGATTGCTGCTTGTCGTAGTGGATTAGTGAAAGATGTGTTCCACTTGTTGCTAATATTCTTTGGCCGCCATTTGTTTGGTGCCTGCGCCTGATAATTAACGTAGTTTCTATTTCTATTCGGTGGAGGCAACCTGCGAATTCAACACGTTACTTAGTACAACATAAAATGTAGATTAAATTCAACAATTACCGGATGGTTTTCTTCTTGCTAGGCCTCTGCTTTGCAACCATTTCGGTGATGTGAGCGCTGGCTTCTGTCCCTTTTGCATCTATAAAGATTTGTCCAGTTGGACCGCCTGTGACTATCAACGATTGTTCGTTCCGCAAAAACTCTTCCAACGAGGAATATCCCATTTTGTGGAACGGAATCGGGCAACCCATCAGCTTTTTATAATCGTTTGCCAGATCCTTGAGCTCCAGCTTTCCTTTCACGGAATTCAGGCAGGCGCGGACGCCTGCGATCGTTTCTGCTCGCAAATTCTTCTCCATGGCGGAAGACTGCAAAATAAAACATATAAATTAAAATTTCTCAATTTAAAAAGAAAAATTAAAATTTCCTTTTATATTACTAAAGAATACTTATAATAAGATTCAATGAGAAGCCAGATGAGTTATATAAAATATATTAAATGTTCAAAATAGGTTCAAAGTTATATAGCTCAAAATATACAAAATGTATTCAATAATGTCTGGCTGACGACCATAGGAATCGATGGCACAAAAATATAACTATAAATTAGTTAATACAAAAAACAAAAATGATAAATAGTATTTAAAGCGAAGAATAATGTGAAAGTTAAAATAAATGTCTTGTTGACAGATAAAAGAATAATGGAGGTCGTCTGTTATTTTACTTCACGGAACAACTATGAACGAGCCTAATTAGACGCGTCATTAACACAGTTTCCGAAAAGTCCCGGAAATGCACGTTTAACGCACAACGAAAATAATAGAAAGAAAGCAAAATATACTTCATAGACAGATTGAATACGGTCAATCTATAAATTATAAAATCTAATATTCAAAATATTTAAAAACACCTTGATTTTCTTGAATATCGATTTAATTTATTGACCAAAGGTTGTTCAACCTCATTTGCTTTCAATTATAATTTGTTTTTTTTTATATTTTACAATATTTAAAATATACAAATCAATGTGATATCCCATGTAGCTTTACAATTTACATAATGTTGAATATTGTGTCGTGTCCCAGTGATGATTTTCTGGACACTGTGGGATATATTCTTCTGTTGTCGTTGTGGAGTCTCAGTTGTTGGAAATTTAATGAAATTCGTTTGGTTTTACATAACAAATTTGTTACTTGATAGATTTAAGATTCATCTGACTATGCACAGATCTGTCTATTCTGCAGTTTAGTTATCAGTTGAAAAAACGAAGAAACGTTACAAACGGTCACTGCCTATTCTGCATATTGGTATATAGCTCATTGTCCTCAGTGGTACCCAAACTTAATGGTTAGAGACAACAATTTATAAGATCACTTCATATTACGAATTTTATAAAATCCAGATATTTATTTTCTTTATTATGAGTATTTTTAAATAATTACATGCGTACATAGCAATATTTACGTGTATAAATTAATAAAAACAATTGTAACCACAGTAACATTACTCTTTTGTTTTGTATAGTGTAATGTGGAAGAAATAGCAATGCGAAAAGTTTCATTTTACATGCTGAAATCTAACTCTGCTGTATGACTAGTCGGATACGTGTGTTTATGATAAATATAAATATTTTCATTGCAATTGTTCAATATTTATATTGATTGGAGTATATGCATGCACTTTGTTCTTGATTATAGAAATAAAACGTAAACAAATATCATCTATTTATACAAGAAATTTCAACAAGGACTAAGGCGGATGCAAACACTATCTTAAAATAAATAAAAATAATGTTGATAATATTCATTCACAATAGTCAGCAATTGTTTTATCTTCAATAAATTGTATGAATTTCTGGGTAAATTAAAATGATTGTACACATTCGTTAATATTGTGTGCTTTTTTTTAAATAAAAATTTATTTAATGTATTACAAAACTATAGTGATTTAGAAATAAACTTTTATATAATCAATTTACCTCAGCTACCATTATTGGGCAATAAACATTCGACAAATTTCACCGACAAAATTTGAGTTACTTAACAGTAGCGGTATAAAATTTAAAAAAGGATCAACACACGACAATAATACACAAAAAAACTTTCGCGTTTCGCTTTCTTCGCTCCTATTTGAAGGCGAACAAGACGTTCATCGACCGGCAACGTTACCAAAATACTACTGCTGCACTTTTACATTCCGAACCGTTTTTCCGCTTTGCTTCTACAGTCCAGACCCGCTCGAAAGGCCATAAATCCATTCAAGTGCGACATCGTTACCAAAGCGCTAAAAATACAACTATCAGAATAATTTATCACCTATTAAAGACAGCATTATTAAGTTGTTTGTTTATTCAAAAGAATTATGATAGGTCAATATTTTGTTTACAAAATAATAATAAACATAATTTAGTTATTAACCGAAATCTCGAAGTCCTATTTCCAAAATAATTATATTAGTCAATTTTTGTAATATTAATTTTTTTATGAAAATTATCGATATAAGCAACATTTTGATAAAAAAATTACACTAATAGTTGTTTTTTACATATGTGCATTATAAACCTCCAACAAAAATGTACTTCCATTTCTTGTTATAATTGACTTTTTTATAAAATACTTTTCTAGAGAATGTAACCAGAATATGTAATATAACAATATAATTATCTCGAATTGACAATTATTTCTTTTATTACCCATTCATCAACAGCACATGTAATGTTTAACTTTCCAAATCAATCAAATCGACACTCAAATGCACAACAGATATTTATATTAATTTTAAATTAAAATAACAAAAATAAATGATCTCGTTGGCAAGGATTTAACATCCAAATTATTTCCTGTTACCATGACGATTATAAAAAAAAAAAAATAATTAACACAATCGAAAACGCTTTCTTTTTCTTATACAATCTGTTGCGCAAATGTATCTCATTCGATTTATGTAAGTCTATTTAATTTTAGAAAACATCTTGTTTACTATTCCTAAGATTTGAAAATATTTACAACATCGTCTTCTACGTATTCAAACCAGTATTTTCATAGCAAAAAATACAAAGTTTCCCAAAGAATTATTCTTATGAAAATCTATCTTAGAGCACTCCTCAATTGAGCTAGTATGAGTCTGCAGAACCCCAATAAGAAAAGATAAAATTAAGTACTTAAAACGCAGATAAGTGGAGGTATACCTGGACACCCCAAATTAACAAGGAATATAGATTATACTTCATAAGAAAAACACTGATCTTAATTGATCATATCTCATGAGAATATATTCGATTAATTAATAAACTTATTAAAGAATACTTGCTTTTAATATTCCTTTGTTGTGGCTAACCAGTTAATTATCAATTATTGATATATGTGTTAATAAGTACTATGTTTACTGTGTATTAATAAGTACATTATGGAAAGTTTACATAAACAGTAAACAACCCCTATCAGCACTTGAAACATCTGCATAGGACAATAAGACGTTTTTGGAGAAACGCTCAGTTTTCTCATATTTGTTAGTTTTTACGACCCATTTATGTCACTTTCTTAAAGGGAAGATTATGTTAAATGCCAGGCATTTAAATCCCCAAACATTTGAAGGATATATCAACCTTCAGATTACCTTATCGACAACGGGAGACAAAAAAAGCATCGTTGTAAAAAGTTATCTTTACAAATTCTTTCAAAATGTTTAAAGATAAATCGTCTCGACTTAGTTTAAATAAAAATGAATGAAACATGAACCAAATATACATATTTCACGAAAACTTGTTTGAAAGCTGTGATAAGATTTCAATGACCTAAAGAATTTAGTGTCTGCATTTGAAAATAAATACAAAATAACTAGTGTTTACAATTCGATTGTTCAATAGAAATGTAATAAAGAACAATGCAAACATTTAACTAGTTTTTGTAGTTCTGAAACAAATTTTCCAATTTGTAAGATAACAAATTGAAATACGGCATCGTTTTATTCTCGTACAGCGACAATAATACCGAGAAACAGTTTGGGAACGGTAAAATCTAAAGATGATGAAAAAAGCAGCATTAAAACGAAATTGTGCGCGACTATTATTGCAACAGAAAATAATGCAATTAAGGTAAAATAATAAAGTGAAACACGCGAAAGGAGGCAAAAGGCAGGTAGTAGTTATAGCCACACAACGGCGTTGTTGCTCTCCGCCTTTCTCATCGCACGATCACACTACTTTCTCGAATCCCATTCCAATTATTCAAAACTACAACTCACCACAGCACCAAACCTATTATATAAACCAAGTTTTTTTTTCATTATTATTACAAATAAGTGCTTTAGAAGCAATCTTCTCGGTTTCTACGCAAACCTCAGTAACATTATAACAAAATAAATAAAACATTTAGGTCAACCTGCATCTTCCACCTTAATCTATATAATAAAAGAACTACTAATTACAATAATTTCAATACCAATAATTAATAAACTAATTGTTTCTCAAAATGATTCTTTTTTCGAGATAAAATTTTACCATTCAGTAAAATATTAAGCAAATAAAACACAGAAAGTCACAAATGAGACCACCTTTTTATCAGATTATATATGATTTAAATTAAAAATAGCAAAAAAACTTTCTATTGTTCATACTAAATATGATAAGTCCGTTACGTTTTGGGCGTATTGAAATAAATCTGGATTAAGTGAGAATAGATTAATATTCATAGTATAGAAATAATTGCAATCACAAACTAACAAAAATAAATGTTAGTTTGTCTAAGAACTAATCAGAACGTTATCTAGGAAATACATATGAAACTATGTCAACAAATGCTTGAGAACACTAATAGCACTTTGTTTGAAGACATATCTGATATCAATAAAAAAAATAAATAAAATGATGTTGTTTCATATTACAATAAATAATAGTTTAGTAATAAATTAAATTTCGACATATCTTCTGACAACAATAAATCTATAAACTATTGATAGATAAGATTACGTGTTTATATATAATAAATCATTTAAAGTAATTGATATCATATAATTTAGGTGAAAGTCATTCATAAAACACATTATTATCAATTACATAAATATATTGAATAACAAATATAAGCGGATATTTTTAAAAATTATATAGTGTTTGATTATAATTGTGTTTCTGAATAATATTATGTAGATAGGTATTTCTGAACCTACGAGTCGCGAAATGACGGCTGTCACCTTATATTAAGACGAGGTACAGCTACGAACAAATATGTTAATATTTACATCAAAATGTTAAAATGAAAGAGCTGACTCATACAAAAAGTTATTAAAAGAGCATTCGAAATAAAGCGCCAAAAAATATAGAATGCAGTACTGTTATAAATTTGTTAACCATTCAATTTATATTGTTCTAATATTCATAAATATGTTACAACGATTGTTAAAATTAAGTCTGTTTTAATGCGTTTCTTCTTAATTGATTCATAATTTATGAATATGTCAAGAGGAATATGAAGAGGTTTCGTTACATTTTTTTTTGTGTGCGTATCCTTATCCTGGCGTTGAATGTTTATTCCTATAGGATAATAAATAGATTGATCCAAAAATAGAAGCTGGTACGGTACCTGGCATTCTCCATCCAACAAGATCGTATCGTATCTTATGGATCCACTTCCTCAACCAGTTTAAAACAAAACAGAAACACCACAATCAAGTGGATAGTGAATAGAAAGTGGTTTCGTTTTTACGGATGAAAGGCTTCAATTCGAACCATCTACGAAGAAAACCGCAGATTCTCGTTTAGCAGCAGATACTAATTCCCACATTAATTGTTAATTATATGCAAATAGCCACTGTTAGCGCTGCAATATGAACTGAGATAATTACTTGTTCACACGTAATTAGCTACACATTAATTTGTTATTTTTTTTTAAATAAATTCCATTGAACCGATTTCATTTTTTATAAAGGACCTTATCAATGTTATTAGCATTTAAATACATGAATTTAAAATAATCGATTTAAATTCGCTTATACAATGGCCTATTTATTAGTTATATTTTTTGATGATGTGTTCGCTCCATTAATTTAATTGAATACCAATGCTATCTAGATAGCCTGATGTTCGCATTTTTCTTTTTCTATCTTGCCTTGTGACCTTAAATGTGTAATGTAATAATTGAGAGCGCAACAAGCGATAATTGCGATCCGGCTTGACCTACGCTAAAACGCTTAGAATTCCACATAGTCGTGGTATCTCTTAAATTAGACAAAGCAGCTTCGTGTTCGGTTTTAATGCGACCTTCCCGAATTCTTCAACGAAAATGTAATGCATTCTATTTCGCGCAGCATCGTCATTGTCACCAATTTTCGATGTTAATGAATGCCGATCACAGCACACACACATTCCTATTGCATTGTCTTGGCTCTTTTTTATACACTCGCTTTTGGTTAACAATGAACAGTTATGATGACACTTTTTTTAGTTGAAACATTTTTCGAATACCCCAAAAACCATACAAGTGTAAACTTATATATACATTCTTACTGGATTGTAACACAATTTACATTCCTTATCTTGACCACTTAACAGGCTTAGAAGTGCAGCTAAATTGAATATTTGTATTGGTTAATATTTGAAGGTTTAAATTTTTAATCGGATAACATGGACCATCCTATGTATTAGATATTAGAGATCAGTTACAATAATTGAAGACAACTGATCAATTTCCTTAAGTTTAGAGTCATAGTCTCTGAAATTTAGTAAATATATTGTATGGACCTTTGAAGGTCCAGTGCTAAATTATTCAGCAGATTACTTACATAAGTGTAACACTTTAATTTGCAGTAAGCATACAATTTGGGTGAATTCGTTTCACCGTGAAATTAATGGGTTCAGGCATTAAAAAAACAAGAGGTTTACAAACATCATTAATATGCAGTTAATGGCATTTAAATTGCTCCCAAAATAGAAATGTACCACTCAATTGGATACACCTAAGTAATATTTAATAAGTAGGGTCAATTCCAATAAGACTTGCATCATCCTTGACAACGGATATCTTGATCATTGGGTCGAAAAACGTTTTCGTGCGAATGCCCGAAGAGGGCCAACGATAACCTAAATTTGCACACAACTAAACTACCAAATTCGCCGAGCGGCTTCTACAAATATTTAAACATATTTTGTACTTACTGTCAGCTACTATAACAGGATCCTCGTACAAACTATATTTAACGCTAATGTAACAACCTTTAACAAACACTCAACTTTTTTTCGCTAAATGTCATAGCCAGAAAAACGAACGACTGCAGTTTATAGCACTTCCTCTCCTACCAACACTGAACACAAAACTAAATGCGAGTGCATGCAAATTGCATACATGTTCCGATCGCCGACCAATTTTGGCACACCTGTGGATCTAATACTGATGTCAATTTGATTCCAACATTATGCAACTCCTTCGTCGATGATTTCTTAGCGCCATCTAATGCAATATTGAGAATCTCTATAATAATTAATATTCTTAATTTCCGTTGATTGAGCTATTGAATTGCACATTTGCCATTAACTATTTAATTTTATATTACTTTATTGGATCCTCTTTTTCAAAACTAAACCAATATTTACTACTTCTAAGATAAATAATAAAATAAAAGATTTAAATTTTATTAAATAAAACTAACAAAATTCAATATAATGCTCGGCATATACTATATAAATATTAGTTATAAATATAAATAATTACTTTATACGTGTAATTTGAAAATTAAGTACAATTTATTCATCTGCTTCGTCGATTTCTTGTAACTTGAAGGGATCAATTCCCTCGTTGGGCTTCCTAATGATACCATACTCTTCAGCCATTTTAAGGCACCCACTAGCAATTTCCTTGATCTTCGCCTTTTCTGCTACTTCCAGCTTTGTTACGGCCATCAACACTTCCATTAATTCAGTGTCCATCAATTTGCTAGCAACTTCTTTCGACGTTTCCATCAAATTGCGTGTAATTGTCGCGCCTCGATATTGCACATTGCTATTAGCATGGGAAAGTGTGTACTGGAGAGCCTCCAACCAAGAGTTAGACTCGAAGAACTTCTCACAGCATTTCTTTGAGCTGGATGTTAGAATGGCCACCGCTCCGGACGCTGCCAAGCAAGTTTCCAAATCTTCATCTAGGATCAAGGCTGTGACGAATTTCAGTCTGTCGTTGTCGCCCTCGTATACCTCGACCACGTGTTCGGACATTGTTAAATTGGTGATGCACTGCATGGCGGCACGACACAGATGTTCGTGATCTTCATACATGTAATGCTCTATTTTGCTGAGGCCGCCTTCTTTCAGGATGCGCTGCCTGGAGCTCTCCGACATTTGGGCGATGTTGCACAAGGCCATCAACGCTTCGAAGTTCTCCAAACCCGAGCAATCGATATGAAGTAGAGACAGCAGAGGTCTGATAACTTCTAAGGATCTCTGTCCAGGGAAGGCAACCTCCGGGTTCATTGTAATAGCAATTCTCGCTAAAGCTTGAGCCGCGTGTCTCTTTCCTTTATCCGTGCCGTTCAAACTCAACGGAATCAATACTTTGGAACCACCCTGTTGGACCACCGTTCCTCTCAACTCCTGCTCGTTACACAATGCGTTGAATACGCGGGCAATCAATTCCTTAGAATTGGGCGATTCAGTCTTGCTCAATGCTACCAGCGCAGTGGTAACGCCAACCTTTCCAAGAACCGTTATTCTTTTCGCGACGAAATCAGAGTCATCAAACTCGTGCTCTTCAGGGATGTGATGTTTCGCGAATTTAGCAAGTTCCACCAACTCAGGGACCATTTCTTGTTTTTCGTAAGCGCTACAGAGGTTTACCAATGTAGTCACGACGCCATAAAGCACTGACTGGTCACCGGTCTTAGCCAATTCGATTAACGCTAACAACGCCGGCACATCTTCAATCAATTTTTCTTTAACCTAAACAAAAAAAGCAATTTTTGTTACATTCAATTTCAATTCATATTTACACAAATATTACCTCGGCATCTAAAGTTAAGTAGCTTAAACCTTCAGCCGACCATTTCCTAATGTCTTGATCCTTACCGGGATGTAACAAGAATCTCCTGCAAGCCTCTGCTAACTTCAAGTTGGAACCATCGGCGAATGGTTTGATGGATGCGTCGTTGCCACCAGAGCTTCCTAGCTTGCAAAGACCTACCAAGGCTCTTACACGAATATTATCGTTTTTGCCGACGTACAGCTTCTTCAAGATGTCCACACCCTGACTGATAATAGACTTGGCTTTATCCTTCTTGCTGGCCGCTGCTATTATACATTCGCAAGCAACTTTCTGCTGCAGCACGTCTTCCGTATTCGCCATTACAAGAATCATCTCCATGATACCTTCTTTGCCAATAACAGCGTTACCTACGTCCAGTGGACCGCGAAGTAATGCTGTAATTGCAACAACTACTCTTACTTTTGATTCGATATCGGGAGTAAGCAGTTTCGCTTTAACGAAATTGTCAATTCTATCCATAAACTTGTCGCGAGCTACGTCGTAGTACATGTTTTCATAGACTCTGGACAAGCATACTGCGGCAATCGTTCGTGTGGATGGTGTAATCGACATAGCAGACTCATACTTGTATTCATCCAATTCGCTGGCAATTTCCATCAGGCGTTCTACACCGCCAATCTCCACCATTCGCTCAGCCCATGATAAATTCGTGTAATGTATGTTCCTCATCAACAGCTCCATGATGGAATCGCGAGCTAAGCCGCTAATCATCCTATTGTTCAACGCATAAACCAAACAGGTCAAAATTGTATCAATTTCCTTAGTGTACCGATCGCACAGGTCTTTCACAGGTTTCGTGTCCGGCTTATTCTCCATACCCGAGAATGCGTTTAGAATAATCTGTACGCAATACTGCGCAGAGTTTACTTGTTTCTCACAAGTTGAATCCAAGATTTCCAAGAACCAAGGAATGCCAACATCCATTAACACTTTCAATGTGCGTTCTGGTCCATGTTTGCACAGTTCGCCTATAATCCAAACAGCAGTTACATATATTTCCTTGTTCTTTTCCACTTTCAACAAGCGTTTAACTTTGTCAACGACGCCGGTGCGAACCATTATCTCAGACCCGGCCTTCTCTCTAGACAACACCAGAAGATTATTGAAGGCAGTTTCGCGTTTCTCGCGATTCTCGGCTATGTCGAAAGCGATTTTGAACATGCTCTCGACCTTTGTGGCAACCTGAGCATTCTGACGGGATCTTTCCTGAGTAATATTGAACAACCTTTCCAATACTGGCTGAATGGTTTTGTTCGATGGATCGACATTGAGGACGTGGCGTGCATCTCTGTAGGCTTCTTCATACCTGCACATATGAGAGATATTTGTAACATGTATTGTATAATTTTTCATATATTGATTGAATTCTCAAATTCTCTATTGAAGATAATATGAAGCAGATATGATATGAATTTCATCACTATGAAATTTCATGTGCATTTGACACAATTAAGAAAAGTTAAGTTAATAATGAAATGTAATAGCTGAACTTACCTCTCAAGTTTTTCCAAAGCTTGGCATCTACGGAACAACGCCTTAGGATCAGTGGGAACAATTTCCAGACTCTTATCACAATCATTAACTGCTTCTTGATATTTTTCCTCCTTCAGATAAGCGGCAGCGCGATTCTTGTAATAAATTGCGATGTCTCGACTATCGTCTTGCAGAGCATTGATGGCTTTTGTGTAGAGTTTAATAGCAGAGTTCCAATTACCATTCTTGAAGGCTTCATTGCCATCCTCTTTGAATTTGTTGGCTTCATCTAGATTGCCTGAACCCATCTTGGAGATTGATCTGGAAGCTCCTGAGGAGCAGCTAATATAAACCTGTAGCACGTTTCTAGACTATTCTGGAATAGAAATACACACTTTAAACTATTTATAGTGAAGTTTATTTTTAAAAGCTTCTCCCCATTTTCAGGTTAGGTATATTTGTAATGAAGTTAGTTGATGAAATTAGCCAGGTGTAATTTGATAAGGCTAATGATAATTAAATTACACACACACATAATTTTTTTTTTAATAAAAACGATGCAGTCAAATTAGGAATATTTTATTGAATTAAGTTTACATAAATACACAATTAAAAACAAAAACAATTTACTTTTTCGATTCCAATTTCAGAATTTGGATTTTTCTCTCTGGTCCCCAGCGATACTTGTTGGGTGCACCAGTTTTTCTTATAACTCTATGACATGGAATCAGATATGCAATTTTGTTTTTAGCTATGGCACTTGCCACAGCTCGAATGGCCTTTGGATTTCCAACAGCTTTAGCAATTTGCTCATAGCTTGCTGTCATGCCCTCCTTCAAATTTGTCAGTTCTTTCCAAACATTGCATTGCAACTCTGTACCCCTGAGAAGGACATTGAGTCTAGCAGAGTTGCTCTCAAAGATCCCCTTCGATACTTCCTCAATTTTCTTGTTGTCCTCTCGGAGTGTAGCATTAGGCCAATCCTTTGTCAAATGATCAATGGCACTGTTCTCTTTACCTAAAGCGCAATTTGTTATTGTAACGACTTTTATTTGCTGACTGCTACTCAAACAATACCTTCATCAAACAGAGACATGTAGCAGATACTTTCATTATTCAATGCAATTAAGCAATGCCCAAACTGAGATTCCACAACTCCATAGATTATTTCGAATTCCGTTAGTTTCTTATACTCGTCGGTTGTAATGGTGGAGAACTCAATTTTGCTTCCGGACATTTTTGGTTTCTGCGCTTTGTTATTGTTCAAACCAACGGCGGCGTTTTCGAGGTTAATATTAACAATGTTTTTTTTTTTCAAATAAAAAAATTAGCGCCAAAATTGCCAAGTTTTGCCATCCTCTGATAATTAAATATTTACGCAAGAAATCAATAAGAACGTTTTTCAGCTACCAATGTTAGAAATTCCAACAGAAACTGCAATTTTTTTTTATATCAATAGAAAACAAATATAAAATAAAAATGGAGTCCACTCAATAAGGGTACAAAAAGGTCTTTATTTTATTTATTTTTATTATAAAACAAACTTTATTTGGCAGTAGTTTTTTTTCTTTCAATTTTTCATTAATCAGTGAAATATAGAACAAATCTTAAAAATAATACAAAATAAACGATTTAAAACATGTTTCCAAACAAAGTTTCAAGTTATTTACATGTGGAAGTCAAACATGCATAATGTACAACAGACACTGCATATTTAGCTTCAACAATCTTGTTGCTGTCATTGTTTTGTTAATAATATAAAGTTTATAAATTATTTTGAGAAATGCATAATATTGTTTTATATAAATATGTTTCTTTTCCATGTACTGTAACATATTTGTTTATGGAAAAAAATCAAATAACATCTTACATAATTAATTCACTATATCATTAATATTAATAAGAAGTCTAAATACAAGTATTACACAGGATAGAAATTCTCATATGAAGAAAAACGAAAATATTAAGAAAAAATATTTCATTTTTCATATCGATTCCTTTACTGCACTACATAATAATTATTCATATACTTATTTAGTTATAGAAAGTAATAGAAACAAATATAGTTCATGTTTTTTTTTTGATGTTTTCTTTCATTTATATAATAAAAATACCTAATTGTTTTAGAGGAAATAGTCAGCTTGTGGCTTCTTGGAGGGTATTCCCCGGGTTTCTTGAGGGGCCGCTTCGAATATCGTAAAGTCACGTTGCAGATGCTCGTTAAGTTCTAGAATTGCAGCAACATTTCCGCAACTGCAAATAAATAACATACATCAATATTTTTCAAAACTAGTAAACAACTATATAAATCGAAAATATTAATTAACAAGTCTTCATAGACGCGAAGATCGTATTTAAAAGTTGTCAGCGTAAAGACAAAACCTTGAATCGGATATTTCAATGTTGCTTGAAGATTATAATACTAATTTGTGACCTTATTTCGTAATTGAAATGCGATGTGAATTTTAATAGCCGAAATTCAATTACTGTATTATTTGGTCATATTAATTTGGCACTAATAAAACGGTTATTCGTTGTTAACGAAAAAAGTATAACATAATACAATACATAGTTCAACGAACCTTAGGTCCATGACTTTATATACATAGACAGTACAAAATTGTCTTTGTTAATGAAGGATTGAAAAAAGATTCTTACCGGTAACAGTAATTTGGTGCTGACCATACGGTCAAAACAGTCTCGTTAAAGTGCCACTTGTAACCTTCCATGACTAGTTGATGGGCACGGCAGATCATATCGATATCGTTGGCAGAGTTAAACTGTGAAACGACGTCCGACCCGAACAGGTAACCAGCACCTCTAGGCGAAACACCCCAACCTTGCGTGTCCTCTGGATCGGACCAGAGCAAATCACACATGGGTCCGTCATGTGGGACCTCCTGTTTCCTATCAATGGTACGAATTTGGTCTAGAGTTTGAATGGAAGGCGAAAGTCCACCGTGGACACAGAAGATCTTGCCATCGATGATGGCGGATAAGGAGAGATAATCGAATATTTCAGTGCAGTATCTCCAAACGGTGATAGAACCGTATTTGCGTAAACATTCGTCGTAGAATCCGTACACCTGGGTGATCTGTCTTGATTCGTGGTTACCCCTGATTAAAGTAATGCGATCTGGGTATCTGACCTGTAAACATCGAGTAAAGGTATTAAATGATGGTAATAGCACAACGATTTCAGCTTTTACTTACTTTTAAAGCTAACAGTAGTAGGAAAGTTTCGACGCTGTAGAAACCGCGATCTACGAAGTCACCCATAAACAAATAATTTGTTTCAGGAACATTTCCGCCTACTTTGAACAATTCCTTGAGGTCGTAAAACTGGCCGTGGATATCACCGCAAACCTGAACAGATAACACAAAATTATTAAACTAATCTCACAATAAATCTCAAGAACATTGAGTCAAAGACAAAAATATATATTACAAACAAATTGTAAATAATTGTTATTTATTTTATGAGTCATTATTTGCTTTTTCATAAGAATCAATGTAATCTAAGTTACCATTATAGAATATATTAATAGAAAAAAATAAAAACATGTTATGTAACTATTTTGATCTTGAACCACACTAATTATAATAATGCAGTAATTTAATAATTATTTGTTTTAGTGTGACATAAAGGCTAGGAACAATTATGATTTTAACCATATTTTACTCTGATGTAATAATAATATGAATCGCGCAACAATTATGATTTAAAAAGGCTCATTTTACTTTGAAGCCTAAAATAATCATTCAAGCTTCAATAATAGTCATATCTTTACAATAAAAAAAGTGAAAATATGTCCACCGAGTAGAAAATATGATTCTTATTTCTTTTTTTCTATTGACCCCTGCAAACTTTGGGGGCTGATTTAAATAAATCATAGTTAAAATATGATTGACCATCATATCACAAGCTCAATATTCTGAATAGAATTATTTTTTGTATCGTAGTGATATAATTATTATAAAATAAAACATGCAGTTTAACATAAAAACAACACAAGAAGAATTTAATTAAATAAATTCAAGCTGTTGAGTTTAGTGTCAAATATGATTATTGTCTACAAGTTTTCTTTTTTGAAAGCAAAAATTTGCGCTATTTTACTAAATTTAAATTATCTTAATTACACTGCAATAACAATACTACAGAAGCTTGTTTTACAAGATCAAATGTAAAACTAAAACAACAGACTTTTAATAAAGTCTGACTAAACTTACTTTAAAAAAATATTAAAAGTTAAATTATTATTATATAAGTATTATAAAAAGTTTCATTTAAATCCTCAATATAAATGCTTTCAAGTGCACTATTTATCTAAGGAATCTGGTAAACATAAGCAAAATAGAAGAAAAAAATATGGCAGACAGCTGCAAGCATTTGTATCTTAAGTAGAGTAAAGTGAAGCCATATGGGCATTATTACATAAAATTCTTAAAATAAATGTGCCTATAAGTTTATTGAATTATTTTGAAAAATATTGTAACTTTCAATAAAGAAAAGAAAAATAAGATTTGAACAAGAGAAAATGCTCAAAGGATGCATTAAAGTATGAAAGAAATAAAATAAAAGTAAATAATTGCTGTGTTTGATAGATATTGAATGTAGGATAGACAATGAAAACAATATAATAAACATTTGAACAAAGATAAATCCTATGACTAAACCTTGGTTGAGAATAGACCACATGCATAGCCCATTTTAAATAGGTTATCAGAAAATAAACCACTACTTACTGTAACTGGAGAATCGACTCTTTGCACATTGCTCTCCTCAACTAAGATCTCCCTGGCTTTGGCACAAAGCGCTTTAACTTCAGCTTCCTTGATGATCTCACAACGTTTCAGCTGCTCGATTTGTCTATCTAAATCACTAATGTCAGTCATGTTTGTGTGCTAGCAAATGGTATGAGGAAGAAAACGAAAACAGAACGGGGCCAACGTAAAAAAAGCAAGTGCAATCTGAAACAGACAAAATATAACATTTAATTAATATATGACAATTATGGATGGATGAAATGAGGTTATGTGCATCAATCGGAAAATACTGATGCTGTTAAGGATACGGGACTGCGTTTGCAGCTTTCCTTTGCGTTTCGTGCAAATATTGTGTATATTTTCTACGTAAAATGCTTACCAGTTTGTTAGTATAATGTAAAAATGAATAAAGCACACGCAAACACACCTAGATTTTTTTGGTAATGTTTGCGTTGTTAAAGGCTGGCTGTTACTGCTGGATGCTTGATGGTCGATGCGCGCGCGACTCGACTACGCTCAATGCGACCTACGTCTTGCACCAACTGTCAATGTAAACACTATATTTTCATTTGCAGATGATTCAATTGATCTCAATAAATTCCATAGATTAGTACACCCATCTGCAGTAAGGAGAGCACTCGGAGCATTTGCAATTTCACTCCCACCACATTCGATACTTAGTTGCGTTTTGTTGTCAAACAATCATGATTGACGGTAACCTTGGAAACGCGACATCAAAAACACTGCAACCAAAATATTTAGTTTTCCTTTTGTTAATATTATAAACTCATTAATAGCGCCATCTCACTTCATTTATGTAACTTTGAAGACACTACTGGTTTCTAGCACTTTACTAGGAATTAGGATTCAAGAATACATGTTTTGTTGTTAAGTAAGAGATGCCTAGGGCATACTACAACCTTAAAGCCTATAACAATATTTTTTTATATCAAAGCCTATTAATTATGTTATTTTCTATTATTTAAGGATTTTTTTGGCTCTTTATTAATAAAATCAGTTCAAAAATACGTTTTTCTTTTCACAAAGGTGTTTTCTAAAAGAAATACGTGATATAAGAAATATAAAGAATTGCATCGAATCCACCAATAGAAATTTTCAATGATGCTTTGTTAATGCAGGTCAACTTAAGTCCGTTTTTGCTTTTAGGTACCAAAGGCACAGGCAACGTTTCAAACTGATCAAAGCCAACAGATTTCCCATTCAGTTACTGGAAGCCGACTATTTTCGATCCATTGTTAAACAAAGTATTGTGTTTGTACATGAAACGAAACTATTCTAGTATGAATTCATGAACATTTTTAACGCAAATAATTGTAAAAGAGAAAAATAAGTTTATTCTTTTATTAAAACTTGTGTAATATTGTTTATTTCTAACGTATTAATTAATATGCAAATATTGAATACTTTATTATTTGTTTCATTGGTCTAAGAAAACAATGGAAAATTTATTGACATTTTTCGCTAATTAGTTTAGTTTGTGTAATTAATTAGCAAGTTCATATATTAATCAAACAGGTATTATTTACGTTTATATGAATTACGAAGTTTATAAACAAATTTATGTTGGTTTGTTTAAATGTAATTTAATTGGTTAGTTTTTAGCTAAATTATTATAATAGTTTATATTATAAACGCATTGATTTATTATAGATATCATTATGAATAATATAGTCAATATTATGTACAAAATAAAATTGATTAATGTAATGGTCCAATAATATTACTCAATTGACATAATGACATAAGCTACTAGCTGATATCACATTTCATTTCTTATAGTTATCGAATGATAATGATTGTATTACACATGTTGTGATATTAGTTGTCAAATATGATACACAAATATCTGTCATTAATAATGATTTTTGTGTCATTCTTGACATCTAATATCAAGGCATAATGAATTAATTTTTTAATATATTTTTTTTTTAATGTAAAAATTTTGAGGAATGAGAATGAGCGTATTGTAAAGCATGGTTTTTCAACTTATGGGTTGCGTTAAATTTAAATGGATTGCAAAATGACAGCTGTCACCTTGTATCAAAGCAAGTAACTAGTGAAATATTGTTATAAATTGGGTCGTAGTACATCTAAAAACAAATATGTCGGGGCTAAAAGGTTGAGAAACGCTGTTGTAAATTGCGATCATGATACTTTCAATGAACAGATTCAGTGTTATTTTTTTCTTTCTCTTTTTAATACGTTTTAAAATGCGTGGACTATATAATTTTCATTATTATAATCAAAATGTTAGTTTTTAAAATTACTAGTCTAATTTATCATTTTATTTTAAATGTTCACTGTATGTTTAAACAACGTGTTCTAGAACTTATTGATTATATAATTATAGTAATTATCTGCAACAGGTTACCATTTAAATTGATTTCCTAAGGTCAGTTTGCAGAGACATAAGATAAACGCACCGGATATACCAGTAGACAAGTTGTTAGTTTTTGGAGATATGGTGCCAGACCTTGTATATAATCTAACTCCACTTAAGAGGAAAAGAACCTAACGTAGGAGAAAGCTTTACTCCGAATGTATTACCCGGCATTAATGATTTTTTGTCTCGCTTTCTATTGTCATCAATTTGAAACGTGAAAAATATGTACAGAGTTGAACGGAAAATTGATTTTTTAACGACAAACTTTATTGCAATAACCATGCATATAAATAATTACAGAAAAAAGAAATTTAACAGATACGTCCAGTGGAACTTCGCTTAACGAGCACCTCGCATAACGAGCATTTCACTTAACGAGCAAAATGACTCGCTTAACGAGCGACGTTTCGCTTAACGAGTGACCAATAGAAGAGAAGTCTCGGATTGCGTCCATGTTACATCATTTTTAAAACTTGTGTACACATATTATGTGTATTTTTGAATATGTTTCAGTATACAAGTAAAAATCTGTAAATTTTGGAATGCATTAGATTCGTTAAGCGAGGTTCCAATATAAATACAATTCGTGTTTAACATTAAAAATTCATATTTGACGTGTGCGCTTCAAAAATAGAACTGTCATTAATACTGTATCCGCCTACTAGTAAACTATTATATAATTGCTATGTTGTAAAATGTAATTGTAAATTACAACTTAGTATTATTCAAGAAACAAAAATTTCAAGTACATTTTTGTTTTCATTAATATAATTGCAATATCTTCGGAAAAATAAATGTTTAAGAACAGATATCTATTTTTAACTTCTCTGTCGAGAATACTGTTATTATCACTGCACACAGCGCGCATTCTCTGTTATTTATGACGGAATTTTATTATAAAAGAGCAGTGTAATTGATATCATTATTGCGAATGTAGTTTATTTTCGTTATTATTGGTGAACCAATTATAGAAAGTTCTTGCATAATAATATTGTACTACACTACATAAACGGTGTGTTGAAACGACTGAATGATCGTATCACAATTCTTATTTTTTTATATAACTAAGTTTTAATTGTTATAATTAATACATAAATTGCCATATTTTATTTGTATTTATCATAAGAGAAGATATTTGAATAGAAAATACTAATTAAGAAAACGAAACAGTTTTTTTTGTAGCGACTGTACTCGACGAGTTTGGAAGAAGTACCTGTTATTTAAGGGTCAGCGCGTGTCACTTTATTCGTAATCGAAGCCTCCGTCCCCAATTATGAGACCAAAATAAACATACATTATGTATCACGATCAATTTTTATAAAATCAATATACAAACATTCCATTCAAATTGTTGAAGAAAAAATGTACTAGTATATTAAGAATAGAAAAAAAAACATTTAGATTTATTTAATGTATATATTTGAATATTAGAAATCATCATACTTATTGTCTTATTAGTTGAAATTTTAATCATTTTCCAAGAACTTTTATTCAAGTCATACTCAATGAAATTGACCTATATTTCTTGATAAATAGGTTTTAGATAAACAAGAACAAAATAACGATTTTTCTTTAAGATCACTCTTGATACTATTTTAATTCAATTTTAATTATTAAATAATTTTTGTCGTATTTAAAATAACATTATCTGACTAATCAGTTTTATAAAATTCTTTGAACAAAATGTTTGATATTTCTGTAAAGTCTTTGATTACAAAAACAAATGTAACTGAATATAGTAGTTAAGTTCAAGTATTAAGAATCAACAATTTTGGTTCTTTTTGAGAATAAATTATTCCATACTAATATTTACTGTAATTGTATTATACTTTTACGGTGCCAGATTAAAAATTTGCACAGGACCGGATTCAAAATTTGTGCGTGATCAGATTCAAAATTTGCCAGATTCAAAAACAATTCTAAATAAATTATTTATCACTCATTATATAGATGTATTATAACATTTTCGTTGCGAAACATTTAATAACACTATGAAAATTTTGAAGCACTTAACCTGTCTCGTGCAGACCCTGCATGTTGTCGAAGAAATACGATATGTGTAGATAATAAATGGATTGTGTGAGGTTTCTCATATCTCAATGCTACTTTTATCTAGGCCTTTAATAGAAGTTATTACGATATTAGTTTAATTATAATTTGACCCACTAAAACATTATAACAAATATATATTAATAATAAAATAATTTTCATTCTAATATAGATAATTCCAGTTAGTAATAAGTAATGAACATTTGATCATAGCTTTTTTAGTTATAGATATATTATACTTAATAGCTGAACAAGTGCTGAGTTTGATGGAAGCGTTGATCTTAAATAATATTCTTTTGAGGAGTATGTAGTTACAGTTGTAGTGAATAGCATTTAAGCTTCTAAAAACTTGGCTTGTGTGTCTGAAAAGAAGTTAAGTTTAGTAGATCGAACGATTACTGAAGCAAAATTACTTTGTACAATAATGTAAGCGGTATGTTGATAATTATTGCGTGTATGACTCAAGCGACGCCGTTTACGTGCGTCGATACTGGGAAGCGGCGTCGTTGCGACACCCGCTGAAAGGTTTGTACAACGATCTGTTTGTGCAACGATCAGTTATCTGTGTGTATCAACAAACAAACAAAAAGAACATTCAGAAACGCAAATATCTGCAATTAGAGAAGACACCGATGATGAGGAGAAGGATCGTAATAAGCGGTTTTCCATTTCGGGAAAAACGCATGCGCCCGATCGCGCGACAATGCGAGCGAACAGGGAATCCCGTATGCATCGTAGCTCTGTAGTTTCAGCATGGCGGTTTGCTGAAAACCGGATCCAGTTAAGAACGTCGTCGTCGTCAACCTAACCTAACGCGCGCATTTACAAAACGCAACCACCACCACCTAGCGCACACATCAGGCTTCGAACTGTCCACCACTTTTGCTTCCTAGTGTTTTCGTGCGTTCATTTTAGTGCATCGTTGCTTGTTTTTTGAAACTCATCGCACCGTTGTGGCATACATAGTTTTACAGTTTCATCCCTTAAACTAAACATGGGCAACGTACACACCGTAGGACCCAACGAAGCTCTCATCGTCTCAGGTATGAATTGTGATGTGTTTTTTTTTTCATGGTTTTAAATAATAGACGACGCCCCAATTGCATAATTGGTGTTTAAGTCTTGATTTTATCTGTTGAATGTCATGTTGAAGTGCTTGTATATTGTATTATCCAACGGCTCGATACAAGTTTGTTATGATTGTTGTAAATACCCGGCGCCAAGGTTATATACGCGCTTATAAACCAGTAGAAGTTACGTTCACAGAACAATTTATTATCTTTTATTGACGTGGTGTACTGTTAAATGCTTTATTATTCAATCCAACGCATATCATATAAACAAATGCTATTTGTCAACCTATTCTATGCTGTATGCAACTGTATTAACATGATGTTATTTTGAAATCTTATAGTTGAATTTAAAGTTTGTTATACTGTATATATAATTATTGTAATACCTTTAATATATTGTTAAACTAATAATATTAATAAAAATAATTATAACTTACTTTATATACTTTATTAATAATGGTAATTATTAATATTTGAAATTTTTGTATTGTTTTCAATCTGGTAGGGGTCGATGACTCATATTAACGGCACAAGTGGGGTCGTTTCTGGATGGGGTGGTCGTTCCCCTATCCGCGTTAGCGTCAGACTCTTTATCCACATATTCGCTTACATTACAAAACTAATAATGAAAGGCACCTACTGTATGCCATCGAAATAACCCTCTTTTTTTTAATTATTTTTTACTATCCTATTAGACTGCGGAGGCGAAGAATAAACTTCGTTTTATCATCGTGGACGAGATAAACGGGGTCTCTTAATAAATGTATTTGTACATCAATAAAAATTGGCCGGATGCCAGGGCATACGAAGAGACGAAAAGTCTAGCCGGTTTGGCGCCAGAAGGAAAATCAATTTTTGGGACAACGGAGGATGACGGGAGTGAGAGAGATCACTGGAGACGGCCCCACGCCGCCTTGATGATGTCCGAAGCTTTTTCGCCGACCATTATGGACGGAGCGTTCGTGTGCGCCGTTAAAGCTTTCGGAATAACGCTCGTATCTGCAACACGCAAATTGCTAACTCCGTACACCTGGAGGTTGTGATTGACGACGGCTTCGGGATCGGTATTTGGTCCCATCTTGCAAGTACCGACTTGGTGGTGAAGAGTTATCGAGAACGTTTCTATAGCGCACTGCCAATACTCGTCGGAGTCGTACGTGAGATATTCACATCCTGGGACTGGAGCGTCGTAGAAATTGGTGTGATATTCCTTGAATTTGGATGTCTTCGCCAATGTTAAAATGAATCTAATAGCGGCGATCATTGTACGTAAATCTCGTTCATCCGACAAGTAATTTCCATAAAATTTGGGGTGATCCGTGGGGTTCCTGGAGCGAAGCTCCATGTAACCGATGGATTTTGGATGTACCAACATGGGGAAGATCGTCCAGCAAGGTTTACCTTCAATTTTACGCCAATATCTGTTATACGAATCTTCGGAGATTCGCATAGTTTCTGCGGTTATCTTCGCATCAGAACCTTAATAGTATTCATTAATTTTTGTAAATTGTATTAATAAAAGAAAAACGCACCTAAACAACCGTCGACGTATAATAACTCCATATCGGGGTACGAGGGATCTGGGTTTTCGTCCACTTCAGTTTTTATATATGCAACTCCCCCAACACCTCCAAGAGAGGTATCGAAACCGGTACCATTGATAGCCCACTCTCCGAAGTATTTGATTACGTTAGGAAGTGACATGGTCTGCGTGGAGTTTACCAAGAAATTCAAGCCGACGTACGTTATGTGATCGTGCAAATTTCGACCAACCGGCAAATCAGCGATCACAGGTATCTACAAAAAAAATCATTAAAGTTGAGAAATAAGTAGATTTGTTTCCATACATTTAGATCATTTAAGTGCGCGCGAGGTCCAATTCCGGAAAGCATCATGAGCTGCGGCGAAGCCAAAGCTCCAGCACATACAATCACTTCTTTCCTGGCTTTAGCTTCAAATTTTAGGAAATTGTGCGTATATTCCACTCCCACTGCTTTGTTACCAGCGAAGATGATTTTGGTGGCTAGAGCTGAAGTCAGGATACGCAGATTGGGACGATCTCGGATTGGATGCAAGAACGCTTTGGCTACAGAATTCCTGCGACCTTTGATCACGTTTGCCTGGATCCGGCTGAACCCAATCTGCCTGTCACTATTGTAATCCACCTGATCATACCCCAATTCCTCGCCGCCTGCGATGAAAGCGTCCAAAACATTCGAATGGTATATGTTTTCCACGCCCAACAATCCTTGATCATTATGAAATCCTTCTTGGAATTGTTGTAATCTACATCTCTCCGATTTTAAGTAATACGGCAGCACTTCGTAATAAGACCATCCCGGATTACCGGCGATGGCCCAACTGAAAGGGAATGAAAAAATCAAATTTAATTGTTGTTGTTCAAAACCTGAGAAATGATTACGTATCAAAATCTCTAGGGTTTCCTCTGGTGTATATCATGTAGTTGATGACGCTTGTTCCGCCTAAAGCTCTTCCTCGTGGCCAGGCTAATCTTCGTCCTTCCATTCCTCTGGCAAAGTTTTCCTGGTACTCCATCAGATAGTTCCAGTTGTAATGAGTGAGCTGGAAGACCGGCGCCAATGCTGGAACACTTGTGAACAAGTTTTCTCCTTTTCCAACTTCGAGGAGTAGTACCTTCCAATCTGATACTTCTGAAAGACGATTTGCTATAACGCTGCCCGCGGATCCAGACCCGACTATTATGAAATCGTATTCATCTTCTGAAACTAGAAAATAAAATCACTGCAAATTGTATATTAATAAAGTCTTATATAAACATATACAAAAAGTAAATGAAACGCGTCATGACTAAACGGTTTGACACACTAAATTCACTTGATTAGTTTTCACCTGTAATTGAATCTTTTTTTAGATTTATTTATTTTTTATTAACCAAAATATGAGATATTCATTAAATTATATTAAATACTAGAATATTCATAAAACTAAAGTTATTGTTGAATTTTTGTTTGTTGTTATTCTTCTCAATCTGATTAAGACATTTACATATTTATTACACACATTTTTTATGACTTATTTAACATTTACTTGCGTTATTACTCATAAATGTTTATGCTTCGTCTATTAGTTAATTATATTATGTAAATATTGCAGTTTTAACAATTATAACAATAATTATTATCTGTAATATTTAAATTGAGATATAAATAAAGTTAATACTTTTCTCTTTACATTAACCTATATATCCATTTTCAGGATAACGGTTTGCGTTGGTACAGTTAAGAACAACATTTTTTACGTAATATTTAAAAAAAAAAGGTTAATCAAAGTTATTGAATTTAATTGCAACAACACTAATACTTATTATAAATTTTAGTTGTTTGTTGTTTACGAAATTTCACTTCTTTGCATGTTTCTTAAAATATGATTGCTCCATAACATTAACATGTTTATACATTATTTTTTTCTCGTTAGACGACAATTATTATCTTGTTTATTTAACTTTCATTTATTGTTATGCAGACTTACGACAGTCTAATATTAATTGGTTTCCTAGTTGTTGAATTTCCTCAATACAGAAATAAATATTCGGTATATTATTCCATTATTAAATTTAATTGCAAATATTTTGTTAATTAATTTGGAGGAGAGGTTTATTTGCGGATCAATTCAATGTCAACTTGTTTTATTATTTTAACAAAACGAGTTTATTTTAAGAAATACTCAGAATTATTAAACATTTAATATAAAAATGCAACTAAAAAAGAAGATATTTTAGTTTGGGATTACTTTTTGATTGTTGCGAGATCCATTCGTCTTGGAATTGGAAAACGTCTCGGAACTTCTTCATCGTATTTAGCCAGCCATTGAGGATCCCCGGAGATGCGGAACAGTGGTGGCTCACTATTGGAATTAGTAAATACAGTAACCCAGTTAGGCGCATTTCAACTCTGGCAGAGATTAATTCAGAACTTTGCCTCGGCGAATTCGCGGAGAGTGCAATCTCGTTGAAGTGAAAAAACTACTGGTTGGAAAGCGCAATATCCTCGCACTTTAAGGTATCTCCCTACCCTCCAAAAAATAAAGCAAACAACAATAACGAGCACCGATGATTTACAACATTGTATTTTGATGAATTCCGTGGAAAAATGAGAAAAAACATAATTTTTATTGGTCGACAACTGCTGCGAACGTTGCGTTACATCCAGCTTGCACGGGGAAAATTTCCGTTTTTTCTTCTGTTTCTTTTTTTTTCTTCACATGCAAGTTGGTCAAACAATAATCAAACGAAAGTCGAGAAATTTCACTTGCCTTGTTCATATGTATTCAACGCGTTGCAAAATATAAATTAAATATTATTATCGGATGAATCTTACTTCTAGGTCTCTATTTTAAATTGTAATTTTATTCGGTCATACATGAAACATATGTGATTATTATTTTGAAACAGTCTACGATTAACCACATTCTAAAAATATGTGATAATATATCAAAAATTTGATTTTCGTCTACAATTATAGTTTAATGTTACAATTATTAAGGTTGTTTTGACATTTGACACCTTTCAAAGTTATTCTGAAACCTGTCATATGCATTTGATGACGATGAGAAGAAAATTTACTTTCGAGCCAAATTCAGTTTCTGTGGTACTTACATGTGGAAGTAAAATGAATATTACTATTATTAGGTTTATTATGAACGCAAAATAAAAATTAATTAATTGAAGTTCTAATTATCTTAATTAGTAGAGAATAACAAAAAAACATGTGACATCTGTCTTATTCTGAAACCTGTCATATGTATTGTATGACAGTGACAATTATTTGGGGGTTGTTTTGAACATAATATCATAATTAATTGACTCTCTAAGAATAATCGTAAAAAAAGCATTTGACACCTGTCAAACTTATTATGAAAACTGTCATGTATTTTATTATAACAGATATTTGACGCATCTTTCATATTTATTTTTGTATTATTAGTAGTTACAGTTTGTCCTATATTTAACCGTGATATTTATTATTTTCCATTCATTATAGAAATTTTGGATAATTTTGTCCTGATTAAGACCATTTATTTTGACGTGGTAAAAATAGATACCAAAGTCTGTCCTATTTAACTCACGTCAGTGAGTGTTCATTTTATATAAACTTATTTTATTGCTTTTGGCGAGAATCTACTAAATATACATAGTTCTATATAATAATAGTTTAAATTATCGAGATTGTCTCTTAGAAAATGAAATATAAATATTTTATATGTGTATATTAATTGTACATGTTTATACATTGTTGATTAACGTTACTTTGTATATTAATCACTAATATGTAAATAAAACTTGTAGATTAAACACGAAATTAGATATTTTGTGTATAAGTTTCGTGTTGGTTTTTGTATATATTTTTGTTTTGCTGTTGTTATTACAAAATGATAAAAATAAAAAAAAAACTTTGTTACAGAAATATTTACATTTTACTGGTTGCTACCTAAATATTTATATTTGAATATCCTACTGTTTAGTTTTATTTTAAAATCTCCTATTTACTTTTATTACGAACCTCAATGTTTACGTAAGTAAGCAAGCAAGTTTATTACAAATGATCTATACTTAAAAAATAGTTTATTTTTTAAATTTTCGCAGAATTATCAGAAGATTCATCATTTCAAGTAATATATGCAAGATACGTTGCATAAGTTTAATGAGTTGAAGAAAACAACAATTTCAGAAGATTTCTATTGAGATTAATTACAAGATTCACCGCTCAACTAGTATTATATGTACTGCTTAACTTTCTTAAGTTTTCAAGAATAAACCACGTGATTGCAAAATAAGTTTCTCTTGGTAGTTAAAAATCAATTTATCAAACCCTATTTCAGCATCTATGTAATAACAAGATACTTTAAAGTATTTTTATGCGCTGTTGACTGAACAACGTTTCAGCGCTTCTTTGATATTTCAGTAATTAACTCATCGCCTACTTTATGGAAGTCTACATTGCCTGCAGATGATTAGTTTGCAAAGTGCGCTCTAAACTAATTATATCCATTAAACAGTTTTAATCAATTTACCTGAAACTGCACGTTATTTGCTCGTTACATACTCTGTAATAGTATTGTAAATCACATTTACTTTGTGGCTTAAACTTAATGTAATCAATTCTCTTAGTTTTTTTGTACAAATAAGTTTACTTGTAATAACAAAGTTTCATACATATTTACTTTCATATTAAGAAAATTTATTATATTTAATGGTTTTTTTTTTGTATAATTTATGTTATTAAACAAATTTTACTAAGTGATGTTTATAATTTACATATTTATGATGTTCTATATTTCCATATAAATGTTTATTTTCTTGGAAATAAATAAATTTATTTTTTTGTGTGATAAATTTTGTTATAAGAATCCAAATTCTTATTAACTTTCCTCTTATTACATAATTTCCTGTGATATAATTTACATTGGGAGTCGAACGGTTTGCGTTTGAACACTGTATTTTGGATTTGGAAGTAATTAGTTAAATATTGATTACTTCTTAAAGTACGTTTATTTCTTACAAGTTACAATAATTAAATACATAAATAATTCAATTGTCAGCGCAATAGTATATTGAATTAGCGGCGGCTGTTGCAGCTTATTTCCAGCTGTGCTTGATCAATTCGGCGGCTTTCTCGGCGATCATGACGGTGGCGGCCTGTGGATGACCGGTGATGGATACGGGGATTACCGAAGCATCGACCACCCTCAGCTTGTGGACGTTGTGTACTCTCAGCTCGTTGTCGACGACAGCCTCCTTACCCATCTTGCAAGATCCGGTGTAGTGTCCGGCGCTGTAGGTGGCATGCTTGATAGCGCACTTCCAGTATCCGTCAGAGTTGAAGGGATGCTCTTCGCTGGCGCATCCGTCGATCGGTTGATCGTTGAGTTTGGATCCCTTGAGAGCGGCTGTGTCGCAGAGGTGCTGGGCCAAGCGGATGCCAGCCAACATGGTGGTGATATCGTGTTCGTCAGCATCGGAAAGATGGTTCAAACTGATCTTGGGCCAGTTCAATGGGTCCTTGGTCTTAAGAGCTACGTATCCGGTGGATTTTGGATGAGTCAAAGTAATCTGAACATCGAAGTTGGCCTCGTGCTCGGCAGTCTTGGGGTGCGGGACGAAAGTGAAGTAGACGTCTGGGTAGTGAGCAGTGTCTTTGGAGGCTTCGGTCTTCAGGAAGGCGAGAGCTTCGATTCCGGGTACGGTCAAAGGTCCTTTTCCGTTGCGCAGGTAGTTGATGATGTCGTGTTCGTGGTCGTCGTGATGCTCTTCAATCGGGTAGATGTAATTCAATCCCTTGAAAGTAGGATGATCCTTCAGGTATTGTCCAACTGGAGAATCAATGATGCATTCGATTCCTAAGCTTTCCAACTGCTCCTTCGGGCCAACTCCGGAGAGCATCAGAAGTTGAGCGGAGTTGATGGCACCGGTGGTCAGAATAACTTCTTTGCTGGCTTTAGCAGCGATCACTTCTTTCTCGTGAACGTACTTAACACCTTGAGCTTCCTTGGAGTGCGGGCTGATCAGGATCTCGATGACCTGGCTCAATGGACGCACCACGAGATTCTTGCGGGTAGCGAAGTGCTTGATGAAGGCGTTGTAAGTGCTGGTTCTTTCGCCGTTCTCGGTGTTCAATTGTGGCACGGAGAAGCCCAATTGGTCTTTGCCGTTGTAATCTACGATGTTCTTTCCCAACTCCTTACCGGCGGCGAGGAAAGCGTGAGACAGATTGGAGAGGTAGTGCGGATCCTCGACGCTGAGAAGACCGCCTTGGTTGTGGAATTTACGATCGAATTCGTGGAGATGGGCGTTCTCGGATTTCTTGAAATATGGAAGTACGTCGTCGTAGCACCAACCGTCGTTGCCGAGATCAGCCCAGAGGTCGAAATCACGGACGTTTCCCCTGGTGTAGATCATGTCGTTGATGGCCGAAGAACCGCCAAGGATCTTGCCAGTCACAACCGGACATATCTTATTTTCATGACCTACAAGAAACAAGTTTAATCATCATCTACACACCTGCATCATCAACTCATACCTAAACACCAGGTTTCTTGTGGTTCGGTGTGATATCCCCAAGCGTGTTTGGAGGCTCCCAATACTTTGTGCATGCCTGGGATCTTGGTAATCTTGGTTTCTTCTCCACCAGCTTCCAAAAGGAGAACCTTGTATTCCGGTACCTCACTCAATCTGCTGGCAAGGACGGCGCCAGCGGTTCCTCCACCGACGATGATAAAATCATATTCATGTGGTTCTAAACAAATAAAATAATTAAAACCATTAATCATCATTCAAACAAATCTAAAATACCTGATTTAACTTCAGCCTCAGCGTATTCGGCAGCGAAACTCCTTTCAACCGGATGGTGCAGAGCCGCGGAGGCCTTCAATTCCGCAATCCCATCTTTGTAGCTTTGAATGTAATGATCGGTGATCTCGAAGGGTGATCCCTGCGCCAGACCCAAGATCAAGGCGGTCGCCAAGTTGAAAAGCACGAGCTTCATGCTGCAAATCAAAAGAAACGAATATAAACAACAAATAGTGAGAGGCACAGCATCTCTTCTAGGATGTAAATCCGTTGACCATGGTATTATTTATTGTAATTTAAAGCCGAGACGTATTGCCACCACCGGTGGTAATGAAAGTGAGCGCATTCTTTTCACATCTACTATTACCAATAATATCATGCATATTTATCGACCGGACTTTAATTATTCCACCGGTTTCGCCCTGCAATTCATATGTATTTATAACATACCAACTATTTATTAAAACACTTTTTTTCATGCGTTTTTTCCCTACAAGCACTGTCTCTTACATTCACCATCTCGCATTGTCTTTCATTTGCCATTTAACATCGTGATTTCGAGAATTCATTTCATATTTGATAATGATTCATTTAATAAATATATAGGTTGGGCATTTTCAAGCAATTGTAATTCCAATACACATATTTCACTGTTAATAATCGTTATTGATCTATTCTTGCAAATAACTATAATAATAACTAACGACCTCCGCTTGCATTTAACATTTTAATTCTTAAATATAACGTAAATAAACAATCTTAGATTTTGAAAGATTAAGTAAGTTAAGCAATATTTGTTGCGTAAATCTCTTTCAATGCTAGTTTATACTTCTAGTTGACGAGTTGATGCATAATCTTAACATAATTAAAATAATTTATTTGTCAATGTAAATTTTACTTTTGTTTACTCGATTTGTATCATTATATGCAGTCCTTTTAAAGTCCTTTATTAATCTGGTTTCAAACTGTGCGGGATATTGAACCGCACAATGTGAGGCATTGTTGTATTTGTATATATTTAGTTAATTCTAATATAAATAAGTCGATCTTAGCGGATTTACACTAAACGACGAACTGTATAATAAATCTTAATAAGATACGCGTAATATTCATTTTACAACAAAAAATAATAAATGAATAAAAGGTGTGTTGCGACTAGAAATACCCGAAGTGGAAAATAGTTGGCTTGTTTTATAGCCTTTTAGAAATGTTAATTAACTAGTGTGTGTTCGAATTGTAACATTTGCTCTGATTTAATTAGTTTTATAAATGTGTGTAAGGAGAGGAGGTATTTAAGCACTAATTGGTGTTCCAATCCGTCGACATTTTGTAAACAAAACAAACTCGATTTCTCGTTACCCATATTTACATTATCCACTTAGTTTCTATATCTATAATCATCATTTCATTGTTTAATTTGTGCGGATTGAGGCTGAATTCACATAGAAATTAACATCAGAAAATCATTGAAATTTTGTTATTTCATAATAACTACGTAGTTGAAATTATATAAAAAAACGTATTTGTATGATCTCATTATCCACTTAGTGTGCATTCGATGATCATGTCATTGTTTTGTGCGGATTCAGTCTGAATTCACTTGGAATTATAAGAATGGCTGTAATTTAATTAAGTAACTAAATTTTATTCAATTGTATCTTAAATTATACAATGCTTTGAATATAATTTAAAAATGTATAAAGAATAATATTTGTATTGCTAATTTAATGAGTCATAGAATTAAAAAAGTGAGATTATTTTGATATTATATTCATATTTACATTATCCACTTAGTGTGCATTGAAAAGATCTTTTCATTGTTTAATTTGTGCAGATTGAGGCTAAATTCACATAATATTATAGAAATCACTGCTATTTGATTATCGTAACTAATTCTTATTCATTTGTGTGTTTGTATTATAATTTATAAAATGTTACTTAAAAGTTATATTTTTAAACTTTAATTGATATTTATTAAATTATATAATTAAATTTGTAGAGAACATTTAGTGTACATCAATTGCTTGTAATTAGATAGTATCGAATACTAATTATTTTGAATAGTCTTAAAGTCTACAAAGAATATTATAAAAATGAGATAATTAGAATTTGGAAATAAATAAATATATTTAGAATTCTGTAAATAAATCAATTGAAATTGGTTCAAGTCTACTTCATTCATTCCAACACTAAAAACTCTATACTATGAACAACAATGGGCGTTATTCAGTGTTCTTAACACGCTTGACTGGTGGCAAACCCAAAATGTATTTCTGAATCCGAATTGTGATTTCTACATTTTTTATTTAGTTTTGTTTAAAGTTTTGTACTGTTCATTAGGTTAAAAGGACGTTCGAATAGTTACGTCGTTTTTCTGACCCCAATTATCATGTGCGCCCTTGCAGCGAAGAAGTAACTGGAATTAGGTTAATTGACCTATCCCTATTTTTCCAAATATATCGCGATGTTATTACTAAATTGCTTGGTAATCTATTCTCGACCTGCTGCACCCAAAACCACTCTTCTCAAAACAAACATACAAAGATTACACATTTTGTTTGTGTATTTAAGTATATACATTGTATAAAATGAACAAATTATAGATATTGAAAACTTGTGGTTTAATAGTAACAAAATGATTGATAACTTAAATTTGTTTATATAAACAAGTAAAAATGAACAAATAATTAGTTTTTAAATAAAATTTCTTTGTATAATTAAAATATTTTTTATATTAAATTCTAGATATTGAAAAGTATTAATTTGGTAGTTACAATAATGATTTAAAACATAAACTTATTTTTTTTATTGATAAATGAATGAAATTATGTTGTATAATTGAAATTGTTTAGAATATTTTTGTTAAAACTTAATTAATTGCATAATTGATAATTAATATATTAAATAATTAATTTGAATTACTTTGTTTTGTTTAATAATTTTTGTTACGAATTAGTTAATTGGCTTTGTTCACTGTTGGTTAATTAACAATATGCAATAAATTTATTTGATTGTAGATGAAATCTCTTGTACTAATTACAGCAAGGTTGATCTTGTCTTAATGAATTGACTTACTCTGCTCTGTATGTAAACAGTTGGGATTGTTATTGAAGAACCGCACTCTTCGTTTCGCAATTCGACTTGAATCTGTGTGGAAACGAGCTCGGGGATTCGTATTTATACAGGCGGATGGTCTGGGTCCGTTCTTCTGGGGTTTTGCCCCACCGTTTAGATGTGTGTACATGCATGGCTTTGCCGTATTATCTCTTTTTTTTATTTATTCACCTCTTGTTCAATTCCTCTTCTACCATAAAATAACCTTGCTTTTATTTTTCATTAACGAGGCGGTTTTCGCTTCTAAAAAAAATATTGTTGATGAATAATAAAGGAAACGGCTATAAACCCAGATGAGCTGTTATTTGTTTAAACTTTTACTTTGTTTTTACAAAAAACAGTAATTAGGCTTTGCGCATCGCTGATATCTCATGCTAGAATTATACGTAATAGTTTATGAACGTTAATAGGATGCATATTCAGATATTGTAATTCAGATTTTAAGTGTTAAAATAATCTATCATAAGAACAGTTCTTATGTCGTAGCTTTAAATTGTGCGGTTTCGATTAGTCCGTATTCACAATAGTCACTATTAACTGTCAGTATATGTGAATAGGTTAGGTTGTCACGCTTTTATATTAGGTTATGTTATTAAGATTTCATCTTATGTTAGGTTACCAAAATTGATTGAATTTTAGGTTAGGTTAAGATGAAATTTAATTGTGCGGTCTATTCACAATAGTCACTATTCACTCTCAATATCACGCTAAGTTATCACGCTTCCGTCTCAACTTAGGTTATGAAGATTTCTTCTTAGGTTAGGTTACAAAAACTGACAGTATTTTATATTAGGTTATCACGCTTTCATTTTAGGTGAATCTAAGATGAAATTAAATTGTGCGGTCTCGATTAGTCACTATTCACTCTTAGTATATGTGAATAGGTTAGGTTGTCACGCTTTTATCTTAAGTTAGTTTATGAAGGTTTTATCTTAGGTTAGGTTACAAACATTGTCAGTATATTAGGTTAAGTTATCACGCTTTAATCCTAAGATAGGATATCAAGATTTCATCTTGGGTTAGGTTACCAAACTTGACAGTATTTTACATTAGGTTATCAATTTTTCGTCTTTTGTTGGGTTACAAAAACTGTCAGTATTTTATATTAGGTTATCACGCATTCATTTTAGGCGAATCTGAGATGAAACCCTGATAACCTAACCTAACAAGAAAGCGTTATCATTGTCAAATATATCTGACTTTTCTAAATTGTAAAAGGACAAGAGAAAAACTTATCTCTGACAAATCTGTAATAATTAGTACTTAATAAAAAAAATGTAACTTGAAATTGTTAACTTATTGGATCGATAAACACGATAAATGTACATTATTTAAAATAAAAATTAAGAATTATAACAATTCCAAAAGTTAAAAGTCTGAAAACCTACAGTTATTTTATTAGAGTTCAAATTATAGATAATTACGAACTATGAACACGCGACTTCATTTTCTCTCCCTATTGCACGCCAATCTATACAAATAATATATCGAACTTTTTTTTGTAGCAGATACAATTTTCAGATTAGTTTCACGTTACGACAAGACCACAAGTATCGGTTTTAACCGGTCCGGTACAAAGAAAGATACAAAATATAAGGAATAGCTCGAATTACAATTCTCATCATAGAATCGTGTTAATTGAACCAGTTAATTTACACTGTGTATATCACGTTTCAAACGAAACAATTCGATCTGTAAAAAAGGTATAAACATTCGGAATTTAAATGGACACATTTGTTTAAATTACATATGCTTTTAACGATTTTTATATGGAAATCAATGTAGTTATATAGTGTATTGTTACATGATTGTTGAATAATTTAGTTCGCATCGAAATTTTTGTTTTTTGAATGGAAATTAAAACGATTTTATTTAAAAAAATATATATATAATCAAATGAAAACAGAATATGATAGTAACTAAATTCTCAATGTTTACGTAACCTAATTCATTTATTTTTGTCGCTATTTTTTAACAGTTCTATCAATACTTTAAAAAAAGATCAATATTTTGTTATAGAATTTCAGTACTTCATACATGTCAGTCACTATTTCAGGTTACGTTATCATGAATGCGTGATAATATAACCTAAAATATTGACAATTTGTGTTACTTATTTTAAATAGTTTCTTTCTCGTTTTTTGTCTTAATTTCTTAATTTACTCAAAGAATGAAATAAGTTTCTTATTGTTTATAAAAATTAACTCTAAATGGAAACATTTCCTTAAAATGTTAAGATTTACTAATTAGAAATAGTTTTATTCTCTTATTTACATATTTTAAAAAGCACAAGAAAATGTAAACGTCTTTTATGCCTATTAAACATTTCAAAGTTTCTTCTCGTAATTAAACTTATTTTTAGTTTGTTTAAGAGGCTAATAAACTGGCGGTAAGCAGTCCTTTACAAAAATATTATTTTCTGCATGATTAAGTTTTCCTTCATGTTTTTAGTGCTCGTTATATTCATACTTCATTTCTGTTTTAATTGAACTTGATACGTGGATTTACCCAGCGTGAGGAGGACAGGTTCTCTCTGCGGTTTTCGCCGAGCGTTTCAACTACTGGAATTTTCGTCGAACAGCACAAAGAACTTTATAATTACGCATATCAATATCAAATCAAGATTACTATTAAATAAATCTCCTTTCAATTCTGCAGAATTTCGTACGAACGTTGACCTAGCTTTAACCAAAATATGACTAACAAATCCGATCGACTTCCTCGTATTTCTATTTTTTTATATTATTATTTTGAAATATTAACTGTATATTTATCTGCTAATGTAATGATCGAAACCTATTAAATAACACGAAGATTGTTTATTAATTGGAGATTTAATAACTGAATGTACATTGAAATGTACATCCGATCTAATGCGAACCATTGGCCTTAAGAATCGCTGTTAAGGTGTTAACATTTCTTCTGTGGGCGGTCGACCTTTCTACATACATACATTTATTTTTTTTTGCAATCATAAAAGAAAAGGTTCTTTGAAATAGAAACACATTTAAAAAAAAATCAAAAATTGCATTTGGACTTCAATGAAAAGGACGTCAACTATTTAAGCGAACGCCATATATTTAGATATCATTGAAACTGAATCGATCCAATTCGGAATAATTTAAAATTTCGTTTACCCATGAACTACTTTAAAATACAAGTGGATCGTTTCAAAAATTTGAATATTACACTCGCTTTAGACCTGCTGTTACAAATTTCAAATTAAAAAAACAAAATTGACGTATTTTCCGTTGCATTTTGATTAATTGCGAAACCTTTTTCGATTAATTTAAAATTTCATTTTTATATGTTATTAATCATGTTTTTAATAAACACAATTATAGACCAATACTTATAATTGTGTTGAGTTCATCAATTTCTGCAGAAAATCATTAATTATTTATAATTGATTTTGTTGGATGTAGAAAACAATGTGATAATATCATGTTTATTTTTAAGGACGTTTGCCTCAAGAACACATCCATCTGAAACTATTGTATTTATTATAAAAGCAGTTATCCTTAAAATATCGATTTGTATGTCTAATTTATTTTTATCCTTATATATTCAATAAACCAATAATTTACATATATGTTCCTTCTTTTACTCTAATTCCATAGTATTTCTTTTTCAATTGATCATGATTTGTTAATCGCGTTTAACGATAAAACATATGAGGTGGTATTTAAGCTTTTTATGATGTTATTGATGATTTGCTAAATTACAATACAATGTAATAAATGACTGGTTTATATTGAGATAAACTTATAATTTCAATGAGTGAACAAGAATGTTTGTGAATTTCCATAATAATTGTAAAACTGAGTAAAAATATGTAATAAACGCAATATGAATGAAATAATGGTATATTTTAAATGTATTAAACATTCTTTGAAATGTACTTGTGGTAGTTATAGTAAGAAATTCATTCATACCAAAAATAATAAATTCTACATCGTTGTTATGTTGTATGTATAATTCTATTAAAAAAGTCATCTTACATGGAAAGAAAACTTTATCACTTTGAAATCTATAAAATTACGTAATTTTTATAGAAATTTTATTTATTTAAGTAGTTTCATAAATAGTTTAACTAAATATCTAATGTTATATAATTATTTATGTTGGATTCTTCGGGAAATTCCGAATTTTATATTTGTATTTGACAGTTGATTAATATAAATGACATTACTCATATGTCAAAGCTGACGTTTATGTAATATGTGACATTGCTCATCTATCAAATTTGACGTTTTAGTAATAAATGCAATGGAAAAAGTAGTATCAAAAAACATAAATTTTTGCTATTTAAAAGCTATCAAGGATTTATTTCTGTGATCACTTGATTAAGTTAGTGATAATTCGAGCTAATTGACCTTTGTCGTCTATCAAGCCAAATATAAACTGATTCATACATAACTACTTATTCACAGTTGAATCATTCATTACTAATCCTTGTTTATTAGTAGCAATAAATACAAAATACCTCGCAGTCCAGTCCAGGTAATAGCACTGTTTGAAACTCATAATTTAATATTTTTTTTTAGAATTTTATTTTACTTTAGTTTGTTTTAAAATTTTTCAAACCGTACTCTAGTGAATCCGAATTGGTCGAATCCGGACAATGTACTGTACTTATAAAATTATTTGCTAAATTTGTTTCGAATTTTCAAGAAACAAGTTGAATTTAAAAATGTTGAATAATTTGTTATATTTTCTGTCCAATAAATTGTTGTTAGTATATACTAATATATTAATTAATATAGAAATACTATAAATTATATTAAAATCTAAAATTGTAAGCAAATTAACGAAATTGCTAATATAAAACTGATTTTAAATTTCATTCATTTCTATTATTTTGGATCCAACTTGCAAAATATATATTTGTTTTTTAATTGGAATAAGGTTATTGGCCGAAAACATCCTGTATCGAAAATGTATTAATCTTAGTGTATAAGAGTAGGTAGGTAATCACATTTATTTTATCTTATGCAGTCAAATATCAGCATTTCCTTGAACTCAATCTATCTTCGAAGCTGAAGACAATAAATTATGTAATGTTCGGCCTTCTGCTGTCTACTCACGATTTTATTGTCTATTTCCTTCTTTGTTTTCTCGATTGCAAATTTAAACGAACATTTATACGAATAAAATTAACACAACAATAAACAACAACAAAACAAAAAAGAACTACAAATTATCTCGTATTTCGATCATTGCAATGCATTTATTTGATAACAGTGGACATTCGATATTAATTGAGAATGAAAAAAATAAAACATTGTTGTTATTGATGATGCTGGAGGCGTCGTGAAAGGGAAATGATAATTATCTAATATTTATTATGGTATTATTAAACTTTTTTAATCGAATCTACTTAATTGTAAATTTGTTCATTGTGTATATTTATTTTAAAAAATCTATTACCTTGAAGGTTTTATTTTTCTCTATTGGTCCATTATAACATATTATTAATTCTTCTATCATTCTATTTTTCAATTAACATTTTTAACATTAGTTATATAGTATGCAACCCAACATACTATAAGAAATAATTATATTTCTTGTTTCAATATTTATCTAAATTAGCTGCAGATGTATTTGTTTTTCAATTGGTTATTGCTCATTTGATTCAACCATTGTATTGATATGTTTGGTGACTAATTATGTTATTAATTCGTTTAATTTTTATTAGATTACCACCCTTCTCTAAAGATTTCTGAATTTGCCTAGAAAATTCCTAAATTATTCTGGCTTCTACAATATTAGAATGTTTGGATGGGTGGATTGTTTATATTTCGGTCCTGGATTTAGACTCTTTGGTGTCCTACCCAATTATCCAAATTGATTCAAGGTTGAAACAGTTATGTCTATTTTTAACCTGGCCAAATCCGTCACTCTGAACGTGAATCTTATGAGGTAAACTATTTTTTTGTTGTGATCATTTTATCAAAATGACATCTGTCAGACGATATGTGTCAACGAAAGAAATCGAAATTTGTTTTTGGTAGACGTCTAAAAATAATTGGTTGACTCCAATTGATTCGTTACTTTCAGTTTGTCTGGCAAAAGTTCAAATGCATCAGTACTCGACAGAAAACAAATACAAACAGTCTCGATAAATGGAAATTATCTTGGCTGACGCAGAAGCCAAAATCTATTTAAAGTGATTTAATGTTTTTCCACGTTGAGATTGTTTACAAAAAATGTATTAGTTTTCTCATTATAATAATAATAGATCATGTCTAAATTGAATTAAATCAAGAAATTTTCGATTCATTTATTATAGGGAATCCGCACTGATCGAAGCAGTAATATACGAGATATTGCTGTGGTTTTATAAAACAAAATTAAGTTTAAAACTATATAATTGGACACTTGTTGTTTATTTCAGTAAATTCTATAATTATTATAGAAATATGTTATGTAATATGATAAAAAATAAAGATTTATTTAATTTATTAACCATTATTAATTTATTTAATCGAGTAATACCATACAAGTCTTCAATACTTCACTTACTTATTGATAACATTAATTTTATATGTACATACATGGAATGCTGATAATTTGAGGATATTCCAAAATATATAAAAGATTGTCATTATAGACCACAAATATATCTAGCAATAGGTTTAATCAATAATGAGATGCAAGATTATATTAAAACATATGAAAGTTCATTTGACGTTGAAGGTATGGAAAATGATAAACATTTCTTTTGACTAGAAGATGAAATTATGTGAATGTGCATAACTGGAGAAGTATCCAGTGTTCAATAACGTAACATTAAAACAAAACAAACAAAAATAGCGGACAATGAACAATAAATATGTAGATCAGTCAATCTGTAATAATTGTAAAGGCTTGATCTCGAATTTAAGTAAGAAATACTATGTTACCATAAGCTAATACCAGTTTCTACATGACACAAAATGAATATCATATTCAACAACTTCTACGCGTCTTTGATGTTTCTGCGCGGATCGAAGTTGCTCCTGCCTTCGGCCTCTGTCCATTCGTCCTTAATTAGATCTGCCGCCTTTTCTCCTACCATAATAGCCGGGATATTCGTGTGAGCCGAGAGTGTTACAGGAATTACGCTGCAGTCGGCGACTCGCAAACGATTGATACCGTACACTTTCAGGTTACTGTCGACCACCGCGGTTTTATCATTAGCTGGACCCATCTTGCAAGTTCCTACTTGATGGTGGAGAGATCCCGTGATGTGCATAAGGGCGCACGACCAATATTCGTCTGTGTCGAAGACAAGATGCTCGCATCCGGGAATAGGAGTCTTCACCTGTTCCGTTCCGAATTTCTGGAAGGTCGGCGTCCTCGCAATCCTCTGCACTTCGCGAATCGAGGCTAAAAATAAAGCGAAATTAGTATTTTATCTTATTTGGAGATTGTTGAAAGATTCACCTATGAACGTTTTCATATCTAAATTTTCTGGATCGTTGAAGCTGTTTCCGAAGAGCTTAGGCCAGTGATAGGGATTCTTGGATTTTAATTTAAGGTTGCCCTTAGATTTGGGATGTAGAAGCATTGGAAGTATAGTCCACACTTGCTCATCTTCTAAAGGCTTCCATAAAGCGTCGTAGATCTTCGGCGTTATCCTGAAAGTCTTCGCGTACAAAGCTCCTTTATCCATATGGAAACCGCCGCCCAAAAAGATCAGTTCTACGTCGGGATATTTATCTTTTTCCCTGCTTACGTTGGTTTGAATATAAGCCAAAGCTTCTACACCTCCTAAACTGGTGAGAGGTCCTGTGCCATTAGACACCAAAGATATGAACGATCTGGGGTTTTCCAGATCGCTGTAGTTTATGGTTATAGTGTCATTTGATTTGAATAAAAGTCCTAAAAATGTTAGATGATCGTAGAGCGTTTCTCCAACTGGAAGATCCCTGACCACAGGGATTCCAAGCTCTTCTAAATGCGTTTTTGGTCCAATTCCGCTCAACATCAGTATTTGCGGAGAATTGAAAGTTCCCGCTGATAGAATGACCTCCTTCTTAGCTTTGGCTGTGTGATATTGCCTGTTTTTGATGTATTGCACACCTACAACCGTAGTACCATCTAGGATCAAGTTCGTAACTCTGCTTAAAGTCGAAATGACAAGGTTCGGTCTTCCTCTCGCATTTCTCAAATAGGTGTTTTCCACGCTGCAACGTCTTCCCCGTCTCGTGGAGGCCTGCACGTAGGAGACGCCCAAACTTCCACGTCCATTGTAATCGATATACTTGAGACCCGCTTCCTGCGCGGCATTTATAAATATGTGCACCGAATCTGATCGGTAAGAGACGTCTTGAACTCCTATAGGTCCTCCGCGGTTCCTGTAACCAGCATCCGCGTAAGCCACCGAATAATCTTCAAGCTTCTTGAAGTAAGGCAGAACATCTTCGTAACCCCAGCCGGGATTCCCCAAAGCCTTCCATCTCTTATAATCACCGCGATTTCCTCGCACGTGAATCATGTAGTTGATCACGGAAGTACCACCTAAAACTCTTCCCCTAGGCCACGCCATCCTTTGATCCACCATTCCTTAAAATGAACAACAATTTAAAACCAGCATCAAAACTTCTTCACGCAATTTACCTAAACCTATATTATCTTGTTTTTCCATCAAGTATCCCCAATTGTAATCAGTTAACTGAAAGCTGGCAGCCAGAGCAGGAATATCAGTTATAGCGCTCGGTTCTTTTCCCACCTCCAAAAGAAGCACTCTCCACTTCGGATTTTCCGAGAGTCGCGTCGCCAACGTCGCTCCTGCGGATCCTGACCCAACCACAATAAAGTCGAACTCTTCGATCGCATTGCTGTATGGTTGAGGACCGGCTGCAATTACTTAAATATTAGTTAAATTTAAATTGGGCACGCAATTCTTACGACCTTGAGCTCCATAATTGGCGTATTTCGGAAAGAAGAATTTCCCATTTCGTGAAGAAACCTGCTCGTATTCATCACCGATGCGATTCAGCATATCGGCCACATCTTCGTTTTCGCTTTCTTGGCTCGAGGCCGAAGAAACTGCGATCAATATCACATATAAAATCGTTGCGAAATCCATTGAACCGTTCAATTACGAATATCTCTTATATCAAAATGAATCTGCAAAGAAAATAAAACAAAATAAATATGGTATATATATACAGTAGTAGTGCGGCTTCGATTAGTCCGGATTTAATATAGTCCGGTTCTCAAGTTCTCTTATTAACAGCACCTATTAACAGCACTATTCGGGGTATTGTTGTATTTACTTATTGGCATTGATAATATGCACCGGTTATTATGATCAGTTCTTTTAATGGTGTCAATGTTTACTAGAAAATGCGGTTATTCAAAGTCAACTAGCTTTAACTAGATTGAAAATAAATTAATCAATTTTATGCACGTAAACCAATGTTCTTCACTATATTTTTTTAATTGCAATAATGTTTTTTTGACCTTTATTCTATTATTACGTGTGATATAGCAATTAAAATTGATTGAATAATGAAAATCATTATGTCCTCGATACGAGAATCTAATCAATGTTTGAAATTGTTTTCTTTGGTTAACGTGTAAATATGTAGAATTTAAATTCAGCATTTTTTTTCAGAATCCAAGAATAATTTATAGAAAAAAAACGGAGTTACGCAAATAAATTTATTTAATAAACAATTCTAAAGATGCCATAGGCAATAATGTATAAATTACATAATGTCCTTTAAGCGATGATAAACATATAAACTAATTGGAATGAATCAGAGAATTAACACAAATAAAATGCATCATTATTATATAACAAGGAATTTCTCAAATTCTTCTCGCTCAATAGGCGTACATCAATTGTGAATTATATTTAATAATGATTACGTAATGTTCGTCTCTACTTTCGATTGCTCAATCGTAATTGCCACAATTTTATTTTATTATCTATAAAAAAAAATTGGCGTAGTCTATAAATATGTGGAGCAAATACATACATAAAAAATAGTGGTTCAATAAAAAACAAATGTGATGTTACTATAGAAACAATTAAGGATACAAAGAGAAAATTTCTATATTTTTTTTTACATTTTACAAAATTTCTTTAATTTTGTTATTGTTAATGTTGAATTTTGAGTTAAACGTGTTTGAAATTTACACTTGACTTTCCAGAATTAAATATTATTGTATAAATTATATTTTTAATTGGTAATTATGTATAAATTAATTTAGCAATTTGTGTCACATGTTATAATTACGTAGTATGTTAAATTACAAACTTGGAATGACTCTTGAGACTCTCCAATATAATTAATTGTTTAGAACATTAACTTTTTTTATACAGTTCTCACGTTAGTGAAGTTTGCAAAATGAGATTTACGTATTTTTTAAATGATATATCATTATGTAAAAAAATAATTAATGTTACGAAAAAAACATATGGATGTGTGAGGTATTGATGATCAATCATCCTTTTCTTTTTCTCAAACATTTCTTGTGTTTTTTATCGATCTCTAATTAATTTTTATGTAATTACGACAAGATAAGCAAAAAAAGAAGCTTTTATGTTTATTTTATATTCATAATTAATTATTTTTTATCTTACTACATTCTTTATATCAACATTTTATAAAAATATTATATATTTGATAGTTTCATTCATATAATTTACTATATTAACAAATTTCAACTTAATGCACTTTTTCCAACTAATTTTTTTGTACTAATATTCACCAGCTAGGACGCTTTGACATATGGCAGCTGTCATTTCGTGACGTATATAACACAGACTGTTAGGATATAAAAGTTGTAACTATGACAAAAACATTATATTTTAGAAGCGAACAGGAATTGATTATTGATTTTGTACACACTTGCAAGCGCAATGAATTACTGAATGAAATGTCGTTACTTATTCATCATTTGTAAACCATTTTCAAGGTACTCGAGCACATACATGTACACTGTATACTAAACACCTTAAATAAGTGTTTTCACCCAAAAACATGTATAATTATTTACGTTTGTCCTAAAATTTTATGTAAATATTTATTTATATTAATAATGTTTATCACACTGTAAATCTAACGTAAATAAATTATTATAATTAATTTTGATTATTAATTTTAGTTGAGAAATATATATGCAAATACTCATTGTCATATATTCCTTAACTACCAGATATTGGCAACTTTAAATTCTTATACCGATATAAGTTATCCTGTACGCCACCAATTAAACTACTACTCTGTAATCTTCATAATCAACCAAATAAAAGTTAAGTCTAAAAAAAAGTATAAGTTATCAAATACAAGTTTTTTTTATAATTTATTAAAATTAAGTTATTTGAAACTAAATATTTGTAATATTATTTATTTTATTGCAAATCTTTAATTGGTTCATTTAGTTTTCAAATCTGTATGCTTTCTTTTTTAGTTTACATTATCCAATTTATTTTATTTGCTTTAAATTTGATATTATTGTAGAAAAAATTCACACTGTTTATCATATACCCCGCATAGTGCGACTTCGATCAGACTTGATTCACAATAGTCCGGTTTAAAAACTTCAAAATAAACTAATTTTTAATTAAGCAAGATAATAAAAATAGTACACAACATTACTTTATTCCTGGATTAGTCCGGTTTCAAATAGTCCGAATCGAATAAATTCCAATGCTCAGTTTCATTTTACGACGCTCTTTAACTGTATTATTCATGATAATTATTTTAATAACTTATACATATTATTAACATTATGAAAATCCATATATTAACAAACATACTTTTGTGCAAGGTTAATAAACGGAGTTTAATTGATTGTGCAGCAATAACGCATTGCAGGCGATCCGAAGGATCAAAGAGAAACCTCCAACGTTCGATTAAAAATCTATAGTAGACGTATGTTAAACAGCGACAATCAATATTCTAATCGACGTTTGCATTGTTTTGTTTGTTTTCTAACATGTCTGATAATAAACTCTGCTTCAAATCCAAACGATTCTTGTTTATTTTTAAATATTGTTTATAGTTAGGTAATTCGAATTTTTCGGTGTGTTTTAATGTTACTAGTTGAAGTTCAAGGTCTCTGCCACCTGGATCGAATGCAATAAGTTTAGTTCATTTGTTTGTTTATGCATAACGGTGTCCGAAATTTCACCAGAGTTGAGACAAACATATTTTATTGCGTATTATCCCGAAAACACGCAGCGCTAAAACCATTATCGTTTTGTCTATTCAAACTTACTGTTATAATATTACTGTTAAAAAAAAGAAGTTCAAGTAATGGCATACATTGAATAGGCATACATACGAAAAGGACACGACAATCGCTAACTTTAAATAAAATAGCAGTGTTTTTAAATTATTTTGTCTTAAGGCGTACTTAAAACTATAGTTAAATTTGGACTGAATTGGGAATTGCTTAAAATATGCAACTGAATTATCTGTTAGATTCAGACTGAAGACAACATTGTAGAATTAAAATGTAGTTAATAGAAAGAGAGAAAACATTTACATTTATACACGTGTAATTGAATTGACTGACATATTTAGAATGAAAACACATTCTAGTTACAACTAAAATCTAGTAAATTGTAACTGTTAGGTAGAAAATTATGAGTAGGTTTTGGTCCTTTTGTCATTACCATAAGCCTGTTAATAACAGATGTTTAGGAAAGAAGAGACAAAGTACTGAACCCTGCGGAACATCTCTATTGATCAGTAGGCTTAACCTAAACATACATAATAATAATATAATTTCCATATATTTCAAATTGAAGAAATTGTAAATATAATATCAATTCAAAATTGTCATTTAACATTAAGTTTCTTATTGAATAAGAAATAACAGATTTACAAAATTTTAAGTATTGATAATTTAACATCAATTATAAAATTGAAATTAAAATACGTTCTAGTTATGACTAAAATTTAATAAATTGTATTGGTTTTTACGAAGAAAATAGTTGGATAAGAAATAATAGATTTACAAATCCATTCTCAAACCACTGAGGTCGCATGGAATACAGTTATGAGCAAGCATTCTAATATTTGAATGTTTTAATGTTTCCTATAGAATAGAAACAATTTCTGATGGATCATTGAAAGTATCTAAACGCATTTAATATATATTGTTAATATAAATAAACTATATTTTACTACAACATATATAATGGGCTAATGACCGCAATTTAATAAAGATATTTTATTATATAACAATAGTTTACTAAATATTTTCAATTACGTGCTAAATATAAATGTTTTGTTTGTGGAATAAACTCAATCAACCGTTAAACTTTAACGGGTGATTGAGTTTGTTTATATATTTTTTTTAGTTTTGAAAAAACGTTGCTCTTTACATGATTTTTTTAAACAATAAAGTTTAAATGTTGTGTGTATCTTTAAACTTTATTTTCTAATGTAAAATGATATAACCACGCATCTTTAGTGAAACTTTGAGTAATTGGAACAAAAAATGTAGAATGCTAATTTTAAAATTTTCTTGGAAAATAAAAATCTAACTAAATTTATTGAAAAGTTTACATAATAATTTAGAATGTAGGTCTATTACATTTGTGATCTATCATTAAAACTAAATGTGGATGAATATTTAATTATTTACTTCAAAACACACATTTGAAAAATTAGAAAACCGAATTTTAATTAAAAATATAAATGCTTTAGATACTTGAATTGTTATGTAAAGATTTATAAAAAAAAGTTTAACATTTGTCTAGAATTCATATTTTTCATGAAATATACTGACTGAAGGTCGAATTTTATATATTTGATATAATTAATAGAAATACAAATAATAGATTTATCTAAATCTAAATTTTAATACAGTAAGAAAGTATTTTATATTTCAGGCAATTTTGTATCTGGAATAAGAGAATTTTTTTTGTTATTTTCAATTTAAGTTATTTTTAGAAAAATGTTGAATATATTATAAAATATTAATTTTGTTTGCTTTTTTATTTACTCGCTTTGACGTAAGGTGACAGCTGTCATTTTGCGATTATAAATGTAATGATTGCTAGTTGTGAATTTAATTTTATTAATATTTTTTACTTCTCCTGATATTTTGTGATCATTTACTAAAGTTTTGGTGATTTTTTTAGATGAGGTTATAATTTAAATATTGAGAAACGCTGGTATATTTTATTTTTGTAGTTAAAATATAAAAAAAACATTTTATTTTTAAATTAATAGTAATAATTGAAATTTATATTATTAATCTAATAATCTTTGATAATTATTTTTGTTAATGACAATTTAACTACAAATTGTGAATGAAACTAAAAATTAAATCAAGTAACCATAGTAAACATAAACGTAAACAACCTACATGTGTAATGTCAAAAGTCTTCAATTCTCGGCGAGATCTTGAAAGGAGAGTGAAAGGTGTGTGAGGAGATTTAAAGTAGGAGCCGGTGATTTCTATAGAAAATTGGTTAAGGTATGCGTATTATTATTATTATTAAAAGAAAATTGAATCTAAAATCATCGTTTATAAAGATATCAATTTAGTTACGTAAATTTGAAACAAATAAATGATCACCATAAAACATAGACGCACGACTTACGTAACCCAATGAAATGAAATGAATAAATTCGGTAATTATCTCTCGGTTTCAGGTATTTCCTCGCTCGAATAATTTCTTTTTTCTTTTCATCCACGCAATAACGTTTTGGTTTGTTTTGCACAATTGCTTATGCCGAAATGTAAAAATAATGGTGACTTGCGTTTTGATCTATCTACCTTTACTTTCCCTCTTCCTTCTGATAATTGTAACATTCAAATTCGCATTGGATATCGCTCATGTGGCGAGAGTCGCCTTGGAATTAAAATATGATTACCGCTTTTTTCACGCACATGCATGTGCGCTCAGCAATCTGCTGTAATTAATTTGCGAAATTCTACATGGATATATCGATACAGTTTTCACCAGACACGCGCGGAATTTTACCACAGTTTCATACTAATTATTTATTCTTATTGAAGAACATACAATAAGTGCATATACATATATAATACTTTTTTTTTCCCCATACTTTACTTATTTTATTGAAGAAGATTTAAATTTTGTAAAGATTAATTTCTAAATATAATACATACAGCAATACCTCGCATAGTGCGGCTTCAATATAGACGGATTTGAAAATTTCAAAACAAACTTAATTATAATTATATAAATAATATAAATTAACAAAAAATTGTCAACAAAATTATTTTTTTATCTAGTCTTTTTGAATGCAGTTTATTTTTGCCTGTATTTACTTTTTGATTCGTTCGGTTTCAAACAGTCCGGGATATTGTGAGAACCAGCACTATGCGAGGTTTTGCTGTACATTTATTGCTTGTGTTATTTACGTAATTTTAATCCATTATTTTCTTTTATAATACGTTATTAACTAAACAATAATCGCATATTAAACTACACATTTATATATAACCTATTTTCAAACTCATTATACTTTTTATTCAAGAACATACAAAAAAAATAAACAAGAATTGACAACTTTTATATCCTAATATTTAACTAAAATTGGCGCCGTAACAAAAGCGCGAAGTATAAAAGCGCACCGACGAAAGGGCTCAATATAACAATCACGTCAAATGCACGAGAATTTGCATGTACAGTGGAACCTCGCTTAACGAACACCTCGTTTCACTATACGAGTGATTAAACTCGTTAAAAGAGGTTACACTGTATTTTTAAAATATGAACTATACCCAGCTCTTAGTAACATAAGACAAAAGAGTGAATGTCTTGCGTGCATTTGATGTGGTTGTTTTACTGCGCGCTTTTGTTACTTCGCGCTTTTGCTCTGCGCGCTGTTGTCGGCTAATTCTATACATTTAGTTGTACAGTTAAAAGTACATAAATTAATCTTTATTATTTATAATTTATTATGTAAAAAATGATAAAACACTTGAACTTACGGTATTATAGTGTTAATAATACTTTAAAAAGAATCAATTTGACGAATTGTAGTATTTTTCTACAAAATAAAATGAGATTTTGATATAACACGTTTTTGAAACTCAATAATTTTCTTCTTAATGAACATTCAACAATAATAAACGCAAATATTCCAAACTTTCATATCCATGTATCAAGCTATAAACTCGTACATTTCTTGAACAAAACGTGTTTAATTCAATCTATTATTTTCACATAGAAAAAAAGTTATGTAACTTCACAATAAATGTAAATTGTTATTGTATATTTCTCAATTTATATAACATATTTTTTGAACTCTTTATTTTTCTTATTAAAGAACACACAATAACAATAAATACAAATATCGCAAACTTTCACTTCCAAATATCATGCTACTGACTATATAAAATTATTTAGTAAACTAAAACGAATGTAATTCACATTATTTTTATTTATAAAAATGTTGTAACCAAATAATATATGCATGCTATAAACATAACATCTATAATAATGTATTTATAGTATAAATCATATAATTGTACTTAAACTTATTGAAAAGTGAACATTGAACAACAGTTTATTACAAATAAATTTCTCAACTTTGTAATTTAAAGGACGTTTATTAATGTTATGTTATTTACAAATAGTAACTTTTCCAGGTGTTATTGAAATGTATCAATAATGTTTCATTAATGTTAGTTTTCTCATATTTCTAGTAATATAAATTCAATGTTTTGGTTAGTTTTGTATAAATATTACAAAAAAATGTGAATTTATTTAAATACAAATGTTTTCAAAATATACCGTATTTTTTTGATTGATAAAATATGAATATGGATATTCGAGAAAGGCCAAAAAAATGATTGTAACAAAATTTATTTGCAAAGATTGAAACAATAACAGAATATGTTTTTTTTTTGTAAATTTCAGACTTCGATCAATGCGGATTCACTATAGTTCGGTTTGAAAATTTCAAAATTAATAACAATAAATTCAAGATTGTACTGCACCTAAAACTTTTGAATTAAAAAAATGTTAAAAATGGAAATCTTGAAGATCCGATCGTGTTTGCAAGTTTCTTTTTTATTTAATTTCTATTTTGATTTTTGCTTCAGCACACAAATAATAATAATTAAATAATAATTATTTATTTAGCTTAAATACGTGAAATATTTCTATTTCTAATTAATATACCTAAATATGAACACTCTGATATTTTTTACTCAAATAATTAATAGACTCACGATTTCTATAAAAACGTTAATGATCTTTCGAATTAGTTTTATTATATGAAGTTCAATAAATAAAGATGTGACCTTATGCAATGTTGTGTAAAATCTAAAATTATATCACTGGTTTTCCATGCTAATAAATGTTCTCTTATTGGAAGAAATTTTTGTTTATAAAATAGACAAAAAAAAACTTGATCTTTCAATTGAAGTATTTATTTATTAGTTTATTTAGTTTTTGTTAGTAAATCAAAGAATAAATATATGTAGCAATTTGATATTTATTTACAACAATACTTCGAATAGTGCGGGTAAAAGAATTGACTATATGAACTTGTTTTGAATCTTTTCAAACAGTACTTTAGAGAAGCAACACTATGCGAGGTATTGCTGTATACAAAACATTTTATTTTACTATTAATTAACGAAATACCCCGAATTATCTCGATTATTATCATACAAATATAGTCAAATATTTTTTTTATTATTATTTATTCCTTGTTTAATGAATATGAGATTTTTTTAAATATATTTTGTAGAATTATGCAAACCTTATATTATTAATGATATAATTATAATGCATGTAATTATATAGAAAAAATGAAATGTGTTTGTTAATTATTGACAACTACACAAGTTTCAATTACAACAACCTGTTTATTAAGCTTTTTCTCGTATTTTGTCATCTATTTTACACGGAATTGTTAACGTTGCAATAAGTGCGAATGTGCGCACTCTGTATATTTCTTTATTCACTTTTTTTCTATTAATAGTTTTTGCATTTAACCGACAGTGGAAATATTGAATAGTATAAATAAAAGGAATTAATCTAATTACCTTCATTTTGCTGTATCATAGAATGTAAAAAAACATGCGTTAATTTTTAATGAAATCAATTTGCATTTCTCATTACATGATGAAAGTCACCTTTGGAAATACAGTAGTGAATCACTATGCAATAATTATTTTGGCCATAGACACAAAATATTTTGATTGATAGAAATAAAAGGCAAAGTCTTTGTTCTCCACAAATATTTTTATTGGTTTGTTGCAACAAATCAACAAAGCAATAAAAAATTATGAAAACAAAATTGATTATTATGTATTGTTGTTATTCAGCAATGATTTTATTTACTGAATTATAATGTATAAATAATTCTTAATCATTATTGAAAAATTAGCAATTATTTTATTTTTACTAAAATTTGAATACATGAAAAAGTAATTTTGATCATAATTCATACATGAGCATTCATTCAAATGATTTTGTTATTTTACATTGAGTATATTTAAAATGTGAACTTTATTCACTCGATCGATTTGAATATTCTCAGAAATAGAGGTTACGAATCTATGATATATTTTTATTATTTGGAAAATTCTTAGTTTTTTTTTAAATAAAAATAAATTATAAAACAGTTAGGTAGAAGGTTTTTGCACTTCTCGAAGAGTTTTCCTTTACAAGCATCTTCTGTAGCAAACTAATTACCTGGTAAAACGAGTTTTGCATGTACTTGATTTTCTTACAAATAGTTAAATCTTAGATTTTTTAATAAAATGTATAATTAATATTTAAATTTATATAATTTAAAAAATAAAGTCAAGTTAATTCATTCATTACAAAAGAATATAGTAAACAATTAATTAATTCACTTATAAGCAGTTAAGTTTAGTTAAATATATTTACTTAAATTAATTTAAATAAACTGAATTGTTTATAATTGATGTTAGGAATAATGAATTACCTTTCTTAATGTTTCTTCCTATGTTGTCTCCTATTGGTCTGAACTAGCTATGTTTACACTCACACTCACCTTCTCCGACTACAAGGAAAATCGCTCGGATCCTAGTAGGTGCTCAAGCTTGTGCATGAGGAACCTGTGGGGGTCAATGTAACTGAGTCCACTTGCGCTAATCAGCTAATTATATGTCCTTTCGGATCACTAGTTCCTTGAGCATTCAATAATGGCACTTCCATCGAAAACATTAAAATCCATTAGACAGTAAAATAAGTGGTAGTTTTTTGATAAGAAAATTTATTTTTTTTTAACAAATTATGTTTTTTGTAGATGAAAATATATATTCAAATCGTTATAATGAGGCTTCGATCAGTCCGGTTTGAAATTTTCAAAACAAATTAAATGTTAAATGAGCAAACTTAAAGTAAATTATACAAAAGTATACATAAACTTACTTAAAAAATACGTCAAACATTTACGAAATATACGAGAAAGTGCATCCAAACAATAATAAATAATTAAATTACACATGGAAACATTTTAAAAACATTTAATTTTTCATTGTACATATGGAGAAATTTTCAAAAATGTATATACATAATTCACTGCTACTCGTGTTAATCCAAAACGTGCACATTCTTGTGATGAATTGGTTCAAAATCGACTAACAGAATCGTTTCAGCATATGCACACTGATAGAAAACATTATGATGGTGCCAACGTCGTTGGAATTGGTTGGATTTTATCAACTGCATAACAAAAATCGCATAAAAAAGGACCGCACAAAACAGGTTCTACTGTTTACGACGTTCAATCTATTACAAAACGGTTATTAATAAGAATTTGTATTTTAGTTTAAAACCTTGAGTTTTTATTTTACAAATTATTTATTATTAATTTCTTGTTTGATACAAATGATGTAGACTTGTTTAACTCTTTGTTCTATTAATATTTGCAAAATTGGTCATTAATTACAATTACAACTGTTTGTTTTAAATATATTTTTCTTTACATTTTCAGAATACATTATTTAAATTTTATTTAGTTATTTCTTAATAATATTTACATAAATCAATTTTTAATTACCAACAGTTTTAGTTTTTCCATTATATTTTTTTCTGTTCATCAATGTGAATATTGAGTAAATTTAAGATCGCGGTGGACATTAAAAAGATAATCTTTCCCGGTGGATAGTTACGATTATGATGATTTTTAATTTGTAGGTTCGCTGTCGTCTTATAGTTTAACTTCAGTAGTATATTGATGCTCTGCGATTCAACCAGTTCCTTTGACTGTGAATCTGTTGCTATCCTTTACACTGTCATTGTCCATGCTGAACATTATTCATTTGATTGTCCATCTGTGATGAACGATGGCCCTATTGCTGTAAGCACCGAGAGGGCTCACAAAGGGCCTGACTTGACTAGGATTCGAACTGGCGCCCACGAAATCGTGGGTAGGGCAACTTAAATAATAAAAATAAATGTAGAAATGTTTTCGAACAGAAAAAGTTTTATAAATAATTATATTACGAATGGATTTTATCAGACTAGAAGATGTGTTTTGTTTTGGAATGTAACCAGATTTGATCGTTCTCTGTAATATCTACATTAACATTTTTCTTTTCTTGTTTCAGGTGGGTTTCAAATGGTAGATTGCGAATTACGATTAAAGAAAAAACCGTTTTCGGTGAGTTATTATTTCTGAGAACGTATTGTTGTTTTTCTTGTATGTCGTCGAAATGATGAATTTTCAACAAGAATTAAAGAATGAAGCAAACTAAAGGTAACGAGAAGAAGGAATGTTTGAAATAATCTCTTTTAATGGTCTTTTATTCTGCATTTTATTAATAATTAATAATAACAACAATATTCATAGCAAAATTTATATAATTACGTATGTAATTATAGAAAAAAGTATGAAATTAAAAAAAATAACTATTTGCTCCGCGGCCCCCTTTTGGACATAAAAAGTTTCCGCGACCCCCCTTTGGATATAAAAGGTTTGTGCGACCCCCGAAGAATAGGAATGTGTAGAAAAACAACCAGAAGTGATCTGTCATTATTTTTTGCGACCCCCCAAATATTTTACGCGACCCACACTTTGAGAATCACTGGTCTAAAAGACTAAATTTTGTAATTATTGTTTATAACAAAATAAGTAAATTAGGGAACACAATAGTTACTTAGAATACATTATGCAGAAAAGTAAATGATACTTATTAATCGAATTTATAGTAACAACAATAAAAATTATATAAATGATTATGTAATAATAGAAAAAAATGAAATGTTTCGATTCAAATTACAAAAATCGGTTTGAAAATTGAAAAACTAAATGTTAATAAATAGATTTTTAATAATTAGTACACAGAAATATTTATTGTATATATAAATGATCGGTGTTTTTTCCTTGACTCTAAGTCTTCAATTAGTCCGGTTTCAAACGGATTACCAGTACTATGTGAGGTATTGCTGTAATATATTTTTATGGGCGTTTCTCTATATAGTTTTTTTTAAACAATATATTGGCAATTTATGTGCTTATATGAATACGATCCGCAGGGAAATTAAAATCGTTAATTAATACATTAAAGGAAGAAACAAACAAAAAATATATATCTTGGGATTTATGTATCCATGTATGTAAGTTACTTGATGTAATGAAAACGCACTTGAGTAAGATAAGTATTTACATTATAAATGTCACATTATTGAGATCAGTGCAATTCTGAAAATGAAGATCAAAGAACTCATTAATTCGATTAGTTAATATTTCATATATTTTCTAAATAACATAAGTTAGAATGATAATTATTATTTTTTTTAATCAACTATTTATAGTATAGTGAAGAAAAAAACTTCACACATTGATCATCAAATAATTTATGTCTTAGTACAGTAGAAACTATTTCTGTTCGGTTCTTTTTTATGCGTTTTTTTTGTGCGGTTTTTTTATGTGGTATATTAAAATCAACCAATTTCAACGGCGTTAGCACCATTGTAATGTTTTCAATCAGTGTGCATATATACAGCATGCTCAAACGATTCTGTTAGTCGATTTTGAACCAATTCATCAAAAGAAGATGCACGTTTTGGATTAACACGAGTAGTAGTGAATTATGTATATGCATTTTGAAAAATTCCGAATATTTTTTTGTGCGATTTTTTTTATACGGTTCCAATCTACCGCACAAAAACAGATTTTACTGTATAATACTTATTTAATAATATTTTTCAATTTACATAATTTATAAGTTGATAAGCCTTACTATGTTATAATTATTTTATAGTTCTCGTTCATACTTAACAGTTTATTTAATTTAATTAGATAGATTTGTTTATTTCCTTAATGATTTTTTTTCCTTTTGATGTTAAAATCATGAATCTAATTAATTTTTTTTTGATGCTTTAGAAACGGACTACGGATATTATTAATATGCAAAGATTTAATTAATTCAGTTTCATCAACAGAAAAGAAAAATCTTCTATTAATATACATTATTCACAACTAAAACAACTCACTTATTTTATTTATTATTACTTTAAACTCGTATGATTTATCATAATTGATTACTAAGTCATTATTAATAATCTATAATATATATTTGTTTTGCTGTTATTAAATATTGTCATTTTTATTTAAAGTAACATTTATATATATGGAACATTGTTAATTTTGGAGAAAAAAATAAATTTGCTTGAAGTAAACAGTGAAGAATACCGACTAGCAGAAATAAATATACAGTGGAACCTCGCTTAAAGAGCATAACGAACATTTGAAAAAATGTCTCGCTTAACGAGCGACGTTTCGCATAACGAGTGATGTTGAGAAAAGAATATGATGAACTATACGAGTATTTCACTATACGAGTAAAAATACGGAAATTTTTGAACGGATTAAACTCGTTAAGCGAGGTTCCACTGTATAAGTAATTTTATAATCATTTTATATCATTCACAAATATTAAATTAAATCTTGTATAAATAGAAGGAAAAATATTAAAAAAAAACGATAATTCCATCCAAATATTACAAACTTATAGTCTTATTAGAAATCAATTAATATATATATAAAAAATATACATTAATTACTAACATTCATTTTTTTTATAAACAGGAAATATAATTTATATGAAAGTAAAAGAATTTTTTTTCTATCGAATTAATTGCGAAATTGCCATTCGATAATTGCAGCGATGCAAGTGAAACCGCAAATGTAATATAAATATAACAACATACGTTCGAATGTGATATTTTAGCGCATATTAAGGTCGTACGACAATCGTAGTCAAATATTAAATTAAAGTTGATTTAATTACGCAATGAATTGAATGGTAAATTCAATAATTCCTGTACGCTAATTGTTTAATACATTTATGATATTAACTATGATTTTAAAGGTAAGGGTGAATTGTATACAAGAAATTTTCTAATTATAATAAATATAGAAAACTGTAGTTAGAAAATTATATTTGTAGAGATTTTTTTAATAATGATTTATGTTTTTTTTCGCTCGATGTTATGAAGTTAATTGTTAATTACTATATTTTTAGATTATAATTATGTATAATTCTCGTACGTAATTTATATTATAATCAGTTGATTTTTAGAATAAAATTATGATGTATGCTAAATTTCATATGAATTCATTCATTTCATATAATTCGACGGTTCGATGTAATAACAATTATAAAATATGACGTGATTGAAACATTAACATTGTCTGTTGTGAATTTGCGTTTATTTCATGACATTTGGGGCTAATAAATAACAGTTTTTTTTTTGAAAATTATGTAATAATTATATCTGTCTAAGAATATTGCAATGGGTGTGGCGAATTTCTTACGGACACCCACGTCGATGAGCGTATAAGAATTAGAGTGAAAGTGTCATCCAAATTAGTGCAATAACCAAGTAAATCACGTAACAAAATAACGTTTTTATATAACAAATTGCAAATGATACTTCTATCGCAATTACGCAGTTACAATAAAAAATGTGCATTTTTTTGTTGTTTTAATTATGCATTATATTCAATTATCAAAAAAAAAACAACCTTATGTATTAATAATTTATGT